CCTATAATATCAGTTACTTATTTCATGAAAAAAAACATAACCATGTGCTAATCTCAATAGCTTTTATTAATGTCTTTTTATTGATAAAGCATTAATTATGAACATTTAGGAATATAACTTTTATGTAATGAAGATCTCATAATTACAATATCATTATATTTATTTATATTTCAAAGACATTATCATATAAGCATTAATAACAATTATATATATATATATAAGTTCAATGATAAAATAATCATAAGCTTTATAAGATATCAAATATTACAATATGTCAATATTTTCACTAAAATCGATTTGGCTTGTAGGGCATTTACCAACAATCTCTCACTTGCATTAAAACCAATCACTTATGTATCTAACACCATATTTGACTACACATCTATCATATTTTTACTAGGACAGTGGCTTAGTTAGAAGATTAGCAGTATTATCCTTAGTAAGTACTCATTCAATTTTAACATCACTTTTAGAAATAAAATCCCTATTGATATCATATAACCTAAATACATGTTTGAATTTCTGATGAGATCTTAATTCCTTGGCTTGAGCTATTGCCTTATTATTGTCACAATAGATGATTATTGAATCAATAATGTTAGGAACAACACTTAGTTCAATTAAGAACTTCTTGATCCAAATAGCCTTTTTTGCAACCTTAATTGTAAAGATATATTCGACTTTCATTGTACAATCAATAGTTGTTCTCTGTTTGGAATTTGTCAACTTATTACTCCATCATTCAGAATAAAAATATAACCACTTTGAGATTTGCTATCATCTTTATCAAATTAAAAGCTTACATCACAATAACTCTTAATTTAGAGTTCACCTCTACCATAAACATGAAACATATCCTTAGTTCTTCTCAAGTACTTAAGGATTGCTTTCATAGCCTTCTAATGGCATTCACTTAATTTGTTTGATATCTATTTGTTATACTCAAGGCATATAAGACATTAGGCCTTGTGTAAAACATTACATACATGATAGATTCTATTGCATATGGTATCTTATCCATGCAATCTTTCTCAATTTGTATTTAAATCACATGTTTTTGGAAAATTTTATGCCATGCAACATTAGTAAGAATCATCTTTTAAAATCTTTCATGCTAAACCTTTTTAGTATTTTGTCTATATATCCAGAAAGATCAAGCAATCTCTTTTATCTATCTTTATGGATTCTTATTCCCAATTCATATGTTATTTTTTTTAAATCTTTCATTGAGAACTTCTTTGATAATAACATCTTAATATATTGTAACATAAGTATAGCATTTCCTATAAGCAATATATCATCAATATACAGTATTATGAAAATTATTGTACTCTCATTAGTCTTCTTGAATACATAAGGTTTATTTACATTTTTGTATGAAACTTAATTCTTTAATTACTTTATCAAAAAGTATGTTTCAACTTTTTGATGCTTGCTTGAGTCCATAGATGAAACTTTTAAACTTACACACTTTGTTGGCATTATCTTTAGATTCAAAACCCTCAGGTTGTTTTATATACATTTTTTCTCATAAATTCCTATTAAAGAATGTAGTTTTGACATTTATTTTTCATATATCATAGTCATGGTATGCAACTATTGTAGGTAAAATCTTAATGAATTTTATCATGGTTACAAGTGAAAAAATTTCATTAAAATCAACTTTTTATTTTTTGTTATATCATTTTGTAAAAAGCCTGGCTTTGTACATTTGTACATTGCCCTCCATGTCTCTTTTTTTCTTGAAAATATACTTGCACCCTTTGAGTTTTATCCCTTCGGGCAGTTTTACCAAACTCTAAACTTGGTTTGAATACATGGATTTTATTTCGAATTTTATAACTTCATGCCATTTTTCAAAATTAATCTAACATTATTTCTTGATAGGTGGTAAGATTATCATCTATGATCAACTCATCCAAATCTACGAGAAATCCATATCTCTTAATAGTTTATCGAGTTCTACTTGACCTACAAAGTTCTTGTGTATTTTGAGCTTTGGGCTATGCATTTGTTACTTTAAGCCATTGGCTTAAGTTCCATGCTTATGTCAAATTGTGTTTTTTGAACTTCTTCAAGTTGTACTTTACTCTTATTATTTTCTTTGAGTATAGACTCATTTTCCAAAAAAAAAAATAGCATGTCTAAAAAAAAGCACCTTTTGTTCCTTAGAATTGTAGAGTAATATCCTTTTGTTTCTTTTGGATATCCCAATTAGTTGATTGGTTAAGTTCCAAGCTTATTGCCTAATACATGCTTTGTATAAGCATCACAACCCTAAATCCTTATGTATGATAAGTTAGGTTTTTTTATCTTTTCATATCTCATATATTATTTTCTTAATGGATTTAAATGAAACTCTATTAAGAAGATAAGTGGTTGTTTTAAATGCATAATCCCATAAAGATATAAGAATATTTAAATTGTTCATCCTTGATCGAACTATGTCTAACAAGGCTCTATTTTTCCTTTTGAAAACTCCATTGTGTTATGGTGTTCATGGTGGAGTTTATTGTGTGAGAATCCCATTTTCTTTTAAATAACCTCGAAACTTATGACTCAAGTATTTTCTTCCTCTATCAGATTTGAATGTCAAGATACTCTTACCAGTTTGCTTTGTAATCTTTCTTCTAAATTCTTTGAACTTTTCAAATGATTCAAATTTTATGTTTCATTAGATACACATAACCATATCTTAAATGATTATCAGTTAATGTAATAAAATAAGAATACCTTTTTTTAACATTTGTATTTATTGGACAATATACATCCGAAAACACAAATCAAAGAGCTACATTGGCTCTTTCTTTTTTTTTCAATAAAAAGTGATTTGGTATTTTTACCAAGTAAATATGATTCACAAGTCCCATAATTCATAATCAAAAGGATCAAAGTATCTTTATTTATATAACTTGATGACTCTTCCTATAATGCCACAAGTAAGGTTAAGTTGATTTATCTAATTTAAGTTTCTTAACATTTATGTTGAGAACATCATTATTTAATATAAGAACATAAAAACCATTATCAATCATTCCCATGCCATAAAAGATATCATTTAAATAAAAATGAGCAACTATTGCCCTTAATATTAATTTAAAAATCATCATTTATACGTAAATAAGAAATTAAAATGATATTTCCAGTAATGACTAGAACATAAAAATAATATTTAAATTCTAAAATTAAGCTAAAAGGTAAAGGCAAATAATAAATACCCACAGCATAGGCAACAACACTTGCTCCATTTCCAACCCGTAATGAGACATCTCATTTCTTTAAGGATTTACTTTTCTTTAGCTCATGTATTTCATTACATAAGCGATAACCACATCCAGTATCTAATATCCATGAAGATTTGATAAAAAAATGTAGATTGATCTCAATCATAAACATTCCCAAAGTAAAAATCTTTTTAGACTTCTTATCCTTCAAGCTTGTCAAGTAGACCTTACAATTCCTCTTTCAATAACCTTTTTTACCACTGTGGTGACAAGCACCTTTATCCTTTTTGATGTTGCCAGTAAGCTTAATAGTCTTATTTAATTCCCTTTCTTATCAACCTTTTTACTTTTCTTTCTTTTAACTGATTTTTTATTGGTTTTATATAAAGAACTTAAAAGAGCCTTAAGCTTTTTTATTCTTTGTGAATTTTCTCAAGAGTATCTAGCATATTCATCAATTATGGTAAAAATACTTTCATATGATGCATGTTAAAGTTCATCGAAAATTGTGAAAAGCTACCAAGAAAAGATGATAAGATCAAGTCAACACTTAACTCATGATCCATCACAAAATCCTAATTGCTCAAATTTCTCAATCCAATTGATCATCTTGAGACAATGCACTGTAATCGAAGTGCTCTCAAACATCATTGTTCAGAACAATTTCTTAAAGGTTTAAAACCTCTCAATTCACTTTTGTTTGTCAGAAAATTCTTTAAAGTACAGAATGATTGTTGAAGCATCCATATTTTCATACTATCTTTGCAATTTGGGAACCGTGCCCTCTACCATGATACATGCAACTTGATCAATATGGTCTTTATAGGTTTCATAAACCTGTCACACCGCCTTATCAGCATTAGCATCTGGTTCCTTAGGAATCATCTCATCAAGAACATAAAACATTTTTTCTTGGCTCAGGAAAAACTTAAAATTGCGATACCAATCATTGAAGTTAAGTCCTGTGAACTTATAAAAATAAGAAAAAAAAACTACCAGAATAAAAAACTCAATTTAGAACAATACCAAACAAATTTAACTCCACATGCTTTTACGGCTTAATAATAACAATAAAACAATTATTAGTTCTATTAAGTAGCAAATAAAATTCTATCTTTAACTTTTCATATATAACTAATTTGGAATGAGTAAAAAAACTCATCTAACATTTTTTCTGTACAGCTAAACTAATGGATTAAATAACTTGGTTAGGTTGGCAAAAACAAAAAAAAAAAGGATGAATGACCATTCGAACTAATCATCATGTGGTGGTTTCGAGTATCATTGGTGACTTTTGGCATGATTCTAAATGGTGAAAAGAGATATGAATGCTTCTAGTGAAGGTGTAGAGCTCAAACGATAACAAGAGATAAATAAGAAATAAAGTTTAAAAGAGAGAAAATGGGTTTTAAATTTTAAAGAAAAAAAAAGCATAAAAGTTGATAAAGACGTCCAAAAGGATTAGCCAAATAAAAATTTTAGATTATAACATTTCGTAAATAGATTATAAAGTAAAGGTAAATGAATATTAAACACTTAATTATTAAAAAATTATTTTTTAGTTTAATTGATTTTTATATATATTTAAAATTATCAATCGATATATTAAATAGTATAAACCAACCCTTAAAATAAACTAATTAAACAATCTAAACTATATGATTTAATTAAAAAGTCAAGTTTAAATCGATTTAACCCAACTAATGCTCTCGCAAAGATATTTTAATGTTTGTGTACACACTTGACTACCGAAAAGTGTTGGAACGCCGCCGTTTTTCTCCAATGCCCCTAGCATTCCTCCCTTATATACCCAAATAAAACCCTAAAAATTAAACAACTCATCAAAAACTCGAAAAGAAAAACCGAAAATTTTAGAGAAAAAAAGCATGGAAGGAACAGATGAGCTAAGCATAGAAGAGTTGGCTTCAAATCTTTCTACATACAAGGAACAGCTTCAGCAGGTTTCGATTTTTCTTTCTTTCTTTTGAGTTTTTAACTTAATATTCGCAATTAGCTTTAATTTGTAACCATTTTTTGTCAAATCTCTCTACATGTTTTTCGCTTGAATAATTTGGGTTTAGGGTTTTCTTGCTTGCTGAGAAAGTGGAGGAATTGTATGTTTTCTGGTTATTTCATTTAACAGGACTTGCAAAAATACGACTAATTAGTTGATTTTGGTGAAAATCAGGTTAGACAGCTTCTAGGTGATGATCCTGGAAACCTTGAATATGTGGACATGGAAAAGGAGCTCGCAGAGGTGATCCTTGATTACGATTATTTTCTTTGTGTTTATTCTTTCATGTTATTTTTCGTTGTTGCTTTTTCTTCGTTCCTTGTTTGCTCTTTTCTCTGGCTTGTCATGTCGTGGTTAAAATACGGTTATTCTGTTGAGAAATGGAACCAACCTATTACCCGGCACCAAAAAGTGGTCAAAATATCAGTTTTAGTTTGTGGGTATTATTTTTTTTTTCTAGATGTCAAGTTTTCGATAAGGTGATGAAGATATCATTTCTCTTCCTTCCCTCTTTTGAAGGAATCAACATGTTGCTCAAACAAGCAACATCAATTAACTGCTAATGGTAATGGCCCTGCTGGAAGTTTGTTTTCATTTCAGGGTTGAAAAGGTGAGGAACGGTTCATACATTAAAGAAGTTCACAGCTGCAAAAATGTGAACTATAGGGAGAAAAAGAAATTTTGTGAAAATATAGAGTTTTGGCAAGATGCCCATCACTTTGATCTTGATTCCTTTGCAGGTGTGCTATGTGTCGTGATGGCCAGCCTGCTTCTCATTCACCTGATTTGGATGTTCACCCTGAGACTCTAAGTTCGAAATATGATGACAATTCACCCTTTATTATTTTACTAAATGTATAGCTTTGTTTTAGATGTAGACTTGTGCTGAACTTTTGGGGTGCAGGTGATTGCTCTGACAGAGGAACTGCTTGCAGCTGCAAAGCAAAATGAGATTTCTGGATCAGCTATTGGAGCTAGTGTTAGTGCACCCCCTGCACAATCGAAGGTGATTAAAATGGATAATTAGATCTTTGATTTATTTTTGTTTGTCAGAATTGGTACTTCAATCACAAAGGCAAGATTCCGAATTGAAATGGGAAATTTTTGCATTTTTTTTACAATTTTGTAGAAATTTATGCATATGAGATGTGGCAGCCTACATTGTTTCTTTTATCCAATTTGTCACATAACCCGCTGAGCCTGTCTTATGTATGTGTTTTAAATATTTGATGCAAGAAGTTCTTGCTCGGCATTATATTTTTAGCATATGGTAAGGTAATTGGGACAGGTAGTTAAATAACACAATTTTTTACTGCAATAATATTTTGTTTTCATAATCTCCAACTGTTGCCTTGGTTTAACTTTTATTCTTTTGTAAAAGTTGATGGGCAACATTAATCTTTTTCCTTTTGTTCATTGCATACTTACAATGGAAAATGCTTTTTGGTCAAGCAGGGGATATGAATTGTTCCTTCAATGTGTATTTTTGTTGGTGCAGCTCTCTCTCGTTATTCTTTTAGGTATTCACACTAATGTTTTTTTCTTATCTAGGAATCGGTGAAAGCATCAGATTATGGGGATAATTTTCCTGTTGGCACAAAAGTTCAGGCTGTTTGGAGTGAAGATGGAGAGTGGTATGTAAAGGAACAAGGATGTCTAATTTTAGCCATTTGTTTCTTTTCCCTCCCCATTTCTTTTACCTTCTTTTCCTTTGTGTGTTTGATTAGTTGAATATTCAGGTATGATGCAACTATTGAGGCAATTACTCCAAATGGGTATTATGTCTGCTTTGACGGATGGGGAAACAAGGAAGAGGTACCATTCTGGTTGCCACATGAGATTCTTATACAGATACATCTATCTACTACTTTTATTTTCTATTACTTCTGCTAAAATACTAGGTCTTTGCTTTTTTTAGCATTATGTGGCCTTTTCTATTGTTTGAAGATACATGCTGATGAGTTTTGATTTGAAAAAAGTAGAGAAGTTCAAATTATCATTGTAAATATATAATTCTCTTTCTCCATCTTTTCAAACTTCTATCTTTTGCTTTTCATCTTTGTATTCTTTCTATAAAAGAAAATTGAAAAACCCTAATTGCTTTCATGCACATATATTGTGTGTTTTCAGGTGTCTATATACACAAACATGCATATACTTGATTTGAAATTATTGAATGGGTTTGGCTCTTGAGTGGCAAGAGCTATGAGTGCTAGACCTCCTTAACACAGGAAAGAGGGAAAAGGGGGAGGGGGAGCATAGAGGTGTAATGAACATAGCCAAGCCAAGCCTGGCTTTGATCCAACTTGACTCATTTTTATTGGAAACTGAGCTTGACTTTGACCCCATTCAAGTCTTCATTGTTTTGTTTGAGCTTGGCTTGATGGCAGCCCTTGAGCTAAGTTGGAACTTGTTTACATCATACAAAATCATGAAGTCAAAATTATTACAAACAACAAAATTCAAAAATTTATTAGAAGCAAGAAAACATAGAAGAAATTGAAAAAAAAAAAGTTTTTGCTTGGAGATAAGGTAAAAAATGACTTGGGAGTGAAGGGAAAGCTAGAAAGATGGGAATTGATTGCTTGAAAGTCTTGAAGAGAAAATGAAGAAAATTTGGGGCCAAGGAATGGGTGAGAAAATATTCAAAAAGAAGCAAGAGTTGTGCATGGGGAAAATAAAAACAAAAATTTTTGTGGTGATGATGTGTTTAGGTTGGAGTTACTGGTAGAGAAAAGAAGAATGTGAGAGAGAAGAGAGTGGGCAAGAAGATGGCTACATTGTTGAGAAAGATAAAGGAAGAAAGCCAGAGACTGGAAGCTTAGGCTTTCAAAATGGAGTTTAAAATTTTGGATCCAATGTTAATAAATTAATCATTGAGTTAAAATGTCTCACATTTTTTGAGGTATAGTTGCAATTTATAAAGATTGTGGCTTTTAATAAAAATTCTAGAAGATAGCTAAAATAAATTTGTGTATAAATTTAAAAAGCAAAAAAAATATAGAACAGATTGTTTATGAACATAAATGAGTTGAGCTCACCCATGTTCAAGCTTGGTTCGATGATTAAACGAGCTTGTAAATTTTGTTCAACCTCGTTCATTTAATTAGTAAACAAAAATAAACAAACTTAAACTGAGCTCGTTCATGAGCTGTTCAGTGAAGTTTTAGTTCACTTACAACCTTAGTGTCAAGAAATGATTAGAATGTTTTTGGATGCTAAAAATGCCCTTGTAGGTTTTTTGAGACTCATGAAAAGTAAAGGATATTTTATTTCATTAAACTTGCATGTTGTGCTAATCTATATGTAGCTAACAACACAACACCTTCCCCACCCAAAAAAATGTCATTCTTCCCCTGCTTTACTTTAAATACTTTGAGGGGAGAGTAGCGTGCAAGATATATAAGTATCCATAAATGTAGTGTTTTAGTGTTTGGTGCGAGTTGATGTTGAAACTTTGCATTTTAGATTTAATGAAAATCATTAAGTTGGTGCTGTTTAGTATTTACTATTTAGGAATATGAACCACATCCCTTTGAATTTAGAAGATGGTAATGAGATACCCTTGCTTGGTATGCGACATTTCTAAGAAGGTAGCTTTACCTCGGACATGTCATTCCCACCAGAGGAAGAATTGTTCTTTTCATGCAGTGAGATACCTAAGAAGAGAAAAGAGAGATGCCGGAAAGTGGGAAAAAGAAAAGCAGAAGACATTCAGTGGGACAAAATGAGTGAAGTGCTCTCTGTGTCTGTTTTGTCAGTTGGGCGTTTGATCTTTTCATCTCAAAAGACTATTTTGCTTAGTCAATAAATAGTTTGATTAATACGGCTTAACAATCAAGCAGGGAATGTGATAAGCGTTTACCACTGTCTCCTAGGGTTTTGTATTTGTTCAAGTTTGCTTCCCTGCAGTTTCTTTTTCTTTTCTTTCGGGTCTCATTTTACGTGATTAAGGTGGTATTTCTTGACAAGACATCATTTCATTTCAATGCTAAGCCAGCATTGCTGTTGCCACAGGTGCATTGCAGATTTTTATTTCCTTATGCCCGTTTCTATTAGGTGAATATATCCTAGAATACTGTTAAAGAACCCTTATTTGAGAGTCCTTTTTTCCTTGCGTTTCTGTTTGGCCATTGATAGAAATGCGTTCAGACACAACTAATGTTTTCTGTGGCTTGCTGTCAATCCCCTTTGATGCCTGCTGAACTCCTTTCACCATATGAAATTTCAATCCCAGGTGGATCCTGCCAATGTCAGGGCGATTGAACACAATGCTTTGCTTGAAGCTGAAAAGGATGCTGAGGCTACAAAACAAGCTATCAAACGTAAGATTGCTCAAGCTGCTTCTGTTGACTTTCAATCTCGAAGTTTACCAGCTAAGCTTCGAATAGCTGATGATGACCCCGAGGATGTGGTAAGATGCTCTGTACAGCATTTCTTTAGAACTTTTAGATTTTTGCTGTGGGGAATCCGAACTTCATTTGATGTTCCTAAAACTAATGTCATCCCAGGTCCAATTAAGATGTAAGTTTATAGATAATGGTGCTTGGTTTTCCTATTTGGACTGATTTTAAACATATGGTTTGCATCTGAAATAGGACCTATAGTTGACACTTTTGAAAATTTCTCAGCTAGTAATGTATTTATTTTCTACTGGTGATTTTTCAATGTGTATTTTTTTAGTCAAATCCTTTTTCTTGTACAACTGCCAATTAATTTCTATTTTTTATTAGATAAAAATGTTGGTAGAAATTTGTTTTCTACTAATTTTGTGATTTGTTGCCTGTGATTCCACAGAAAGCTGCCAAGCGAAAGAAGATACATGCTTTCAAGTCAAAGATGCGACTTGAACAACTTGAAATGGCACAAAATAAGCGGCAGAATGCTTGGCAGCAGTTTCAGACGACCAAAGGCAAGACTAAAAAGGTCAGTCTAGCAAGCATTTTTTCACAATGTGCTTTTATAGTATTTCTCCAATTATAGACGACTATAATCAATGGCCTTTTTGGTAGATAAGGGAAAAAAAAAAAAGGGCAAAAATCGATAAAGGAGGCTTTTGTTTTTCCTCCGAAGGATGATCCCCTTTTTCATGTCTCTTTTTGGTTTCTCATTTGGTAGTGTTTGAATGCATCAGTTGTTGCTAAAAGCAATTAAGCATGATTTTCTTGATGATGGAAACTTAACGTGGGAATAGGATATAAATATTATCAGATGATGTATGATTATAGTATACCCTTCTCAACTTTACTTGCTTGCTGTGAATAGGAAGGCAATTGTTTAGAAGCATAGGAACTAGACTCGTACAAAATCTTATCTTAGTTTATAACTTTTTTGCATTTACCGAGTTGTTATTTCTTCCTTTACAAGGTTGGTTTTTTCTCGGGGCGCAAGCGCGAGAGCATCTTCAAGTCTCCAGATGATCCTCATGGTAAGGTTGGTGTGACAGGAAGTGGAAAGGGCTTGACAGATTTCCAGAAAAGAGAAAAGCACTTGCATCTCAAAGGAGGAAATGTTGAGATAACTGATGACTAGGCTAGCCTGATATGTTTTGCTGGTTGTTTGAGCAGAGTTGTATTCAAGGGGTGTTGTAAACATGAAGTGTTGAAACATGAAAATTCCATTATGCTCCTTTGCAAGGATTTGCTACTTTTTTACACAAGTTATTAATGATATTACATTGGAAAAAAAAAAGAAACTCACAATCGATGTTACTGTACTTTTTCTTTTTTCATAGTTGAGGTTACTGAGATTTGATATCGAACTATTGAAATTGAGAATCTACTTTTCTACCAACAAATGTTTTATTACTCTTATTTGATTTTTTAATGGATTTAATAGTTTATAAACTGTTATTTAAGAATTTATTTTGCGTTTAAATTGCTTTGTTTAGCAATAGTAGAATAATAATACTTTTTTTTTTTATAATTTAAATTGACTTTAAAAAAAGATATTATTAAAAATAATAATTTACTAAGAATATTTTATCAAATTATCCATTTCTTCTTTATGAATATTATTTATTCGTAAATTATTATTTATAATAACATATAAAATCAATTAAAATTATAAATTTAAATTTCTTTAAAATCACTATTATTATGTGTAGATAAAAAAAGTTTACACAATGCAAAAAATATTAAACCCAGTATAGAAAATTAAAGTAAAAAAAAATTTATTAAATTAATATAAAAGAACCCTAAATGTAAAAAATAAAAATAAAAATTATTTATTTTGGTTAATAAGCCACCCATTTTTAGCATATGCGAGTCAAACTTTAAAAACAACAAATGCGGTAAAATTAGAAGATATTTTTTAACAAAATAGTTTTGTACATTTAAATTACCACGTCACCAACTTACAGTCGGCTTAGTTGATGTTAACTAATATAAAAGGGTTTTTTGGGATAATGTTGAAGATCTGTAGCTGCAGTATAGAAGACAATCTAATTGGTATAAATTGAATTATTAAATTTTTAAAGAAATTTTAAATTATGTCAAATAGACGAATTACGCAAAAGTGAAATTATAAAAACAATTTAAATCAAAGTAATATGCAAGTAAACTAAATGAAGCATAGGATAAGAAAAGCAATCAAATCGATATAAAGATTTGACCATTCTCCAATAAGATGTCTATATCCTTTCTCCCAACTTTTTTAACGGAGCCCAATTTGCTTCCGTTTTTTCCTTTTCTTTTTCTGTAACAAGTTTCGTTCAAAATTAAGGTATTGTACATAAAATTCTTCAAAGAGGTCCAACGACTCTAAACTTTCTTGAACAGTGTCAGTTATTCCAGCAAATTAAATGAATTGCGAATGTTTTAAAAGCCAAAGCCAAGCTATTGCATTTAAACAGCAGATCCACAAATCAAACCAGACTAATACATCCATTTTCACTGCATTTTTCAGTTGTAAGATTTCAAACATAAGGAATCAAGTGTTGAGAATTATGCATACACGTTGATTTATGTTAAGAGAGAGTTCGCCTGTTAAAAGACTCCACTGTGAGATTAGCAGTGAAAGCTGGGATCGAATTCAACTTCCGAACAAATATATCAACCTGCCGAAAACACAAGCACACATTAACGTTCTTTAATACAACTCGTAACTCTATTGGGAACCACCTCAAATACATTTATCAATTTTTCAGTGCAGTATCTATTCCAGCTGCATTAATCTGCTCGAGCTTGGCACCATATTGTGTTAGTTTGATTATTACCCCTAGTTATGCACATGTTGTATATACTAGAGCCTCTAGCAATGTCACTATTCTCCTATTGGTCCTTGAATTCGAGATTCGCTAATCTTCCTAACATTGCACTCGTAAACATTTACTTGACAAGGCAAAAACATAAAGCCACATGTCCACACTTTTTCACAAGTTCCTTTCACTTCCTGTTCTAGTTTTCCTATACCCAGCACAAATCAAAGCATCGAAGGAAAAGTTTATACTTGTTACCTGATGGGATATCTCAGGCTGTGCGGTATAATCATTTGCCTGTGGGATCATTAAGCAACGTTAGTTTAAATATTTTTTCGTCGTCCTATGATCAATTTAAATAGAACATGAAGATGCATTTGCATGGCCTCTGGAAATGCAACTGCAATTTCTCCCTTTTAATGTCCTAAAGGAAGCAATCAATCCTTTTAACACAGTAAACTAAAGCTTAAAAGATATGTTCACGTGAAAGTGGAATGTGAAATAAAACTATCAGTATTCATATTTAGCTTTCACACCCCAATAATCCCATTCCACTACTCGGCTTACCAAAATGTTAGTATTCCCAGATTCATACTCAAATTCAAGCTTCTCATCATCACTTTGAGCATAAATTGATTGAAGGGTAAAATGAGTCACAGGGATTCCATTAGGACGCTGGTGCTCATCCATTACAATCTGCAGATCATCAAATGGAAACCATGAAGTAGTGTGATGCATAAAAACACACAATGATACAAATTAAGCTCAAATTGGTGAGGTTTTCAACCTTTCACAAATTAAAAATGATACCAAATCTAGTTGAATTGGTTTCTAAGCTAAAACCAAAGCAAACACTAACTTACAAAACTGATTCCATTTCCATTTGTTTTATCAGTTATGAAAAAAAATTCCAATTCTCTAATTAACCACTCCACACACTCAGATATGTTATATACCAAATTCTTGCAGATTGATTACATCTATTATTGAACACTTTATCAACCTTCAATCTTCTGAACAGAAATTTTAAGAGCTGATGATTCATATTTAAACCAAAAAAAAAATGAAAAATGAAAAACATCTTGGAATAAATATATGTAGTCAGATCAATAACCAAAATTCGGTTGCTGCAAGGAGTATTGGTGGCTATGAGAAGGAACCATGAGAGAGATAAGTGGATCACCCATTCAGCATAGAGCTTAGTACTTGGTTTTGGTGAGGAAAATTTGGTACACAACATGAATTTCACTCAATTATCTCATCTATCGAAAGACTAGCCAAAAGGCTTTAGAGAAACACATTATTTCAAAAACAGAGCCCCAAGCAGTAGTGCTAATAAGAATTGATGCAAAATCCAAATTGCTCAAACTCAAGTAAGCAATATCCCATACAATCTCTGGGGTGGTTTCATGTCAACACACAGGTGCAGGAAGTCTAAACGCAAAAACACACACAAACATAACCAACCAAACCAAAATTTAGTATTTCAACATGTTAAAAATGTGAAAATCTAATCTTCATTATTACTTGATTAAATTGACTTTGTCTATTTTAGTCAAGTCTCTTATTTTTAGAATAAAGAATGATTTGGGTAATTACACCAAATCCATTAGATATTTTCCATTATGTGTAGAGAGTAAATTACTCCTTTGATGAGCTGTTTTTAACGCATGAAAATCTTAGGTTTTAAGGTTGAGAATATTCAATCTTTAGCCTATATATTTTCATGCAATTCTAGCATTGTAATGAAAAATATATATAGAAAAATAAAATAGTTTTATTCTAGAGATTTCTTCATGGTATCAAAGCACGATTTGAATTTTTGAAATTTTCACTCAGAGTCCAGCATAGCCAATGGAAGGAAGAGCCCGACATCGGAGGTTACCTCTAACCCTAGAGCTAGCATTTCCCAATCACTACAGAACATTACCACTCCTATTCGAACAGGTTCTTTAGCACAAAAAGGTAATTTTTAACGTGCCTTGAGTGTAAAACTAGAGAAATCAAATTCATGAATTGTAGATTCAGGAGCTTCAACCATATGACTGGGGATGCATCAGTGTTTAATAAATACAACCCATGTCATGAAAACTTCACAGTTCGAATTGTTGATGGGTCACTTTCAAAGTAGCCGATACAAATTCTGTTATTATTTCCAAAAAGATAACACTTAATTCTATTCTGTTTGTCCCAAATCTAAGTTGCAATCTACTATCTATAAGCAAACTTACAAGAGACGTTAAGTGTGTTACTAAATTTCTTCCAAATATGTGTGAACTTCAGGATTTGGACTCAAAGAAGATAACTGGCAATGCTAAGATGTGTGCAAGACTCTATATCCTAAGAGCTAATTATTCTAAAAGACAATTTCAGAATACCCCTTGTGCAGTTTCATCCTCCAATAATAATAAAAATAGTACTATCATGTTGTGGCACTATCGGTTAGGTCATCCAAATTTTTTGTAACTTAAAAGGTTGTTTCACTCATTATTCAATAAAAATCATAGCAACTTTCAATGTGAAGTTTGACACCTATCCAAACATACTTGTACCACATATCCTAATCAGCCTTACAAATCATCTCATTCTTTTTCAATGATATACAGTGACATTTGGGTCCCTCCAAAGTAAATAACATTATTGGCTCCAAATGGTTTGTCACATTTATTGATGATCACACTAGGATTACTTAGGTATTCCTTATGAAGGAAAAATCAAAAGTGGGCCAGCTATTCCAAAACTTCAACAATATGATCCAAACTCAATTCAAAACCAAAATCCAAAAGTTGAGAATGACAATGGGAGAGAATACTACAATTCAATCCTCGAATCATATCTAATGAAGCATGGTATAATTCATCAAAGCTCATATGTCGATACTTCTCAACAAAATGGCGTTGTTGAAAGAAAGAATCGACACTTGTTAAAAGTTGCAAGATACCTTATGATGGCTGCATTTTTTGGGTGAGGTTGTTTTTACCGCAACATATCTTATAAACAAAATGCCTTCTCAAGCACTGAAATTTCAAAGCCATTGCCAATCCCTTCTCAGTTTCTATCCTCACCTTCGAATCATCTTGTCTATTCCCATTAAAGTGTTTGGATGCACTGCATTTGTTTTGACCAGCCAACAAAACCAAAGCAAATTAGATCCCAAATCCATCAAGTGCATATTTCTTGGATACTCCCCGAATAAAAAAGGATACAAGTGTTACTCACCAGTAACAAAGATATTCTACCATTCCATGAATGTTACCTTTTTTGAAAATCAACTTTACTATCCCAAAACTACCATTCAAGGGGAGAACCCAACAACACGGGAATATTAGCTTTGGGAAAATCCTATTACTGAACCACCAAACATTTCTCAAACTCCCTTTTACATCCAAAACATCCAACTAAATCCTACAACTCCCTTTCAAGTCCAAAACATCCAACCAAATCCTTTAACTCCGTTTCAAGTCCAAAACATCCAATCATATCCTCCAAGCTCGAAGTCCACACAAGTATAAACAAACAAAGAATTGATTGTCTATTCAAGAAGACATAAAACTCAAAAGGATCTAGGAGAATGTACACCTTCAACGTGAAACCAACTCAAGAGATACTTGAAACCAACACAAGTAACACTCTTACTGAATCTAATTCGATTGAATCTTTTGGTGATCTTGATCAACCGATTGCTCTAAGGAAATATGTGAGATCATGTACTCAACACCCAACCTGTAATGTGATTTTTTATGAAGGTTTATCGCCTAGTAATCAGGCTTTTGTTACCACACTAAACAATATGCAAATTCCCAATAATATTCATGAAGCACTCATGCAACCAAAATGGAAGATGGTTGTTTTGGAATAAATCAAGGCCCTAGAAAAGAACAAAACATGGGAGATTTCAAAACTACTCAAAAGAAAAAATCTAATTGGGTGCAAATGGAATTTTACTACCACACACAATGCAAATGAAAGTATTAACAGATTCAAAACTCGCCTTGTTGCAAAAAGATTTACTCAATCTTATGGTGTTGACCATAAGGAGACATTTGCTTCGAGTGCTAAACTTAATTCAATCTAGGTGTTATTATCAAGGGCAACAAATCTAGATTGGCCACTCCACCAACTAGATGTCAAAAATACATTTCTTAATGACGACCTAGAAGAAGAAGTTTACATGGAAATCCCTCCAAGATTCAAAAACTAGGACAATTCTGGCAAAGTATGTAAACTTCAAAAGTCTTTATATGGTCTCAAACATTCCCTACGTGCATGGTTTGATAGACTAACAAAAGTGGTAAAGAAGTAAGGTTTTTCACAATGCTAGATCAATCACACCATATTTGTCAAACATTCACCTGAAGGAAAATAGCCATTCTTATTGTCTATGTGGATGACATTATTCTTACTGGAGACTATATCGAAGAAATTAGCAACCTTAAGAACATCCTAGCCAAAGAATTTGAAATCAAATATTTTGGACGCCTCATATTTTTCTTGGCGTGAAGGTAGCTCGCTCAAGAAATGGCATATCTGTTTCACAACATAAGCATGTCCTAGACTTACTAAAGGAAACTGGAATGCTTGGATGCGAACCTGCTAACACCCCTATGGACAGAATGAATAACGTAGGAATGGAAGCAGTCCACCACCAGAAAAGGGCAACTATCAAAGACTTATAGGGAAACTCATCTATCTCTCTCATACAAGACCAGATATCAGTTTTTCGGTTAGCATGGTAAGCAGATTCATGAACAATCAAATCGAGGAACACTTGAGAATTGTGTATTGAATCTTATAGTACCTAGAGAAGAATCCTCACAAAGGGTTATTTTTAAGAAGACATCAGGCCGAAATGTTGAAATTTACATTGATGTTGATTGGGCTAGATCCGTTACTGACCAAAGATCAACTACTAGTTATTATACTTATGTGTGGGGAAATTTGGTTACTTGGTGAAGCAAGAAGCAATCAGTGGTGGATAGAAGTAGAACGGAAGGTGGTGAATAGAAGTAGCATGAAAGCTAGCATATGGGAGGGAATTTGGCTGAAAAGGTTGGTAGGGGAGTTAAAGGTCTCTGTAGAAAAATCCATGAAGATATACTGAGACAACAAAGCTGCCATAAGTATAGCAAAAAATCCTATTCATCATGATAAGACTAAACATGTGGAGATTGATTGTCACTTCATCAAAAGGAAAATAAAGAAAGGCATTGTTGGATTAGTTTATACTCCCACATGCCTCCAAACTATAGACATACTCATTAAAGCTCTCTCTCGAAACAACTTCGAGAATCTAAAGTCCAAGCCGGGCATGATTGACATCTACCACCCAGCTTGACGGGAAGTGTGAAAATCTAATCTTTATTATTACTTGATTAATTGACTTTGTCTATTTTAGTTAAGTCTTTTATTTTTAGAATAAAGAGTAACTTGGGTAATTACACCAAATCCATTAGATATTTTCCCATTATGTGTAGAGAGTAAATTACTCCTTTGATTAGTTGTATTTAATGCATAAAAATCTTGAGTTTTAAGGCTGAAAATATCTAGTCTTTAGCCTATATATTTTCATACAATTCTAGCATTATAATAAAAAAAATATAGAAAAATAAAATAGTTTTGTTTTAGAGATTTCTTCACAAAACATAACATGGGTAAGAGATAGCTTAGGAAATTCTAAAATGTAAAATTCCATATATTATACCTTGTAACCGAAGAGCTCACAACATGCCCTCCTAAAAACTGAAATTCTATCTGCAAAAACAGTCTTGTATCTGTTTCAAGAGCACATTTTTATAATATCAGCAATAACAAATCCAAGTCATGAAAAATAAATAGAACTATAACAATGTTTCCACCACTCACCTCTCTTCACGTTTTTCAAGTGTTGCAATTTGTTCTTTTAGTCTCATTATCTTCTCAGATATAAAGGAGTCAACCAGCTTCCCAGTATCACCTATACAGTTAACTAGTCAGAGAATGGATAACCTCATTATGTCAATGCTGCATTTGAAACAATTGGCTATATGGATCAATAAATCACTCCCACAACCAAGCACCAGAGCTAGCACCTTGTTAGGTTTTATTACAATAGAGGAATTGATTCATAAAGAATAGAAGATATATTCCCCTAAATCCAACAAGTGTAGAAACTGTCACTTAGAAAGATCACAGCTCTTAAAAGAGAACCTCAAAAAATTTTGTACTTTTATGGGCCAGATGAGATAATGGCAGCAGATGAACGGGTCATGCAGGGCAGTGATTGATGAAGTGTCACATATATATGACATCAAGGTTTATATGCCTCTAATAAAGAAATTGCAAATGTTCTTAGGATCCAGGGAAATAGTATCCTATGTGTTCCTAGAGAACATATCCAGAATGAACTGCCATAAACTGCTTGCTGCTCTCTTCAATTTCTCACTTTTCATCTCTTCAACAGACTACAAAGATATGTTCAGCTCCAATCTGCATGTTTTAACTTATTTCATAGAAAATCATTTCGTAGTTTTTGAAAACTAAAGGGAATCTCTTCACTAAGATTTTCAAAAAGAAAAAAGCATGTTGATGCTATTGGGGTGATATTTGATTTAAAAAAAAAAAAACACTAAGAACCAACCAAGCCAATAAAATAAAATTCAGATAAAGTTGCTGGAAATCACATGAAACTCTGACACTAGTATAACCTAAACATAATACAAGTTCATTTCTACAAAATATAGTTTTACAGCGAACAGAAAGAAATCAAAGAAACAAAAAGGTTCAACTAGTAATCCCACAAATCAAATCTGAAATTTATAACAAGAAATTAGGGGGAAATTAAAAAAATAAAATAAAAGAGCTCAACTATAAAAAAATTTGCAACAAGAACCACAAGAAAGAAATGAAACATGTAACCACAATTATGAATCTAGAAATTTTGCAATCAAATAACAATGCTTGATACCTGATTGACTTTTCAATTCTTCAAGAGCTTGTAACTTCTCCTTTGTCTTTTGTAACTCAGTTTGTAAAGCCTCAATAGTTTGTTTTGCCTCGTTATCAACAGCAAGAGTATTTACCATTCGCAAAACTTTTGTATTTGCAGCAGAATAATCGCCATGACCCAGCTATGAAAAGAAAATGCATTGGTATTACCACTTTTCATGAACAAAAGAAAAATCAAGCATATTTAACAGTTGACCCTATATGTACAACATATTCAAAAAAATCACCCTCCTAATTTATTCATGTTGTTGAGAAACCAAGGCATGCAAGAGTTTGCATGTGTGTGGCTATACAAAGACTGCAAGGATATCTATGTAAGACAAACCAGAATAACAATAATGCATAAGTTGTTTTATTTTAGCTAAATTATGCATTGCCCCAATGAATAGAAATTAAATTGAAACTGTTTGAAATATCAAAAGATAATGAAACTGTTTGCACTGGTCAAATTCTGCAAAAGGTCCCTTTAATATGGTCAAATGTTTGCTCCCTCTTAAATAATATCATCAAGCAGAGGCCCCTTAATACTATGAACTGTGAAAACAAGGAAAGTTGGTAGCTCTAATTAAATGTAACTGATAAAACTTAACTCAACCTACATGTTATGTTTTTAATTATGCATGACATTTTTGCCTTGTGGTGACATGTGAGAAAATTGGTTGAACTTTAACCGCCATTCTTGCTACAGTGGTAAGCAATTAAAAGCAGACTTGGCAATTCGTGTTTCTGCGTTGTGTTTCGTGTGTATTTGACACGTGTAATGACATGAATTATTAAAATACGAACACGACACGAATTACGACACGAATTATAAAATGTGTTAAATGTTACATGCAATATGACACGATTAACACGTACGCAATTAATTCATTTAAACACGACACAAATAAACATAAATGATATAGATATACATAAATAAACACGACTAACACGAATATATACGAATAGACACGAGTAACACGAATATATACAATAATACGACTAAAATAATAAATAACTATAAACTATTCATCATTTATACCTTAATAAATTAACATATTAATAATATAAAAAAGTATTTACATATTAAAAAAAAATTAATACTCATTTAATATGTATTTAATATATATATATACACACTTAAATTTTAGTTTATATGACATAACTATATTAATTTTTAGTATCAAATTCAAAATGATAAATTATTAAAAATTAAAGAATAAACTAATAATGTATAAGACTAATATTAATATTTTATTGTATTTATATTATTAATATAAAAAAATAATTTTATAATAATTATTAAATGAGTATCATAATTAAATGTTTGAAATAATTTTTATATGATATTAAATAGCTAATTAAGTATTATAATTAAAAGATTAAAAATTAAAATAATCTTTATATGTTTATATTAAATTAAAATAAATATAAAAAATGTATTAAACGTGTTAAACATATTAAACATGTACTTGTTTGACAAGATTAAATTAAACGTGTTATTTGTGTCATGTCAGGTGTTTAGACAAGTCAACACATATACGATACGAATTGTATTTTGTAAAAATTCGTATCAACACAAATAAACATGAAATACATTTTTTAAAAAACATACGATTTTTTTCGTATCATTTTCGTATCATATCATCATGTCGTATTTGAAATTATCAGGTCTTAAAAATTATAAATAAATAGATGATAGAGAAATATATATATATATATATAAATAAATAGATGATGGAGAAATATATAGAGATATTCATAGAGAGTTTCCAATGCAAAAAGGAGGATTCAACCTAAGTTTTTGGCTATGACAACAGCAGCAAACCCCACAAGATCAGATGAGATTCAAGGAGAAACAAGTCAGAGCTATAATGCATAATCAATTCTCCTATAGAAAATCTGATTCTGGCACTAAATATCTTAATAGAGTATTTGCTACCTAAAAATTACTAGGTTCTTCCAAACTACTTGCAAAACCATAACATATATAGGAAAAATACCATATGTGACCTAAATGCCTAAATAATTCCATTTATAGTTATATACTAACCAATTTACAATTGAAACCATAAAATTTTATAAAATTAACAAAACAAATCTCTAGCAATCAATTCCTTCTATAGGCATGATCTTGTCAAACATCAACACATAAGAGACATGGCCTAAATATTTAAAAAAAAACCTTGAACTAAAATTCAATAATCATCGTTTTATTATAATCAATTAGGCACTCAAACATCTGTTTTTACAAAATTGAGCCCTTAATTGGAAAGAACTTGGTTACGGACCGTCATAATCAAGTAGCCCAAGTGACCAATTTTTGTTGAGGGCTCAACTGAGTAAAAATGAATGTTTAAGGAGTCAATTAATTGCAATTCAATGATGGGAGCTTAGATGATCATTTAACTTTAGTTCAGGAGCGTTTTATATTTAAGCCCAAAAACATTCAAGCCAACCCCTTTTTTATAAAGCATCTAATTTTTTTCAAATGATTGAACAATAATAATAATAATAATAATAATAATAATAATAATAATAATAATAGAAATAAAAATAAAGAAGCAAAAGCATAATTGATCAATCATGGTTCCTAAAATCATTTAGAAATCTTAGCTACATACCTTTGATTCCAGTAGCGAAAGCTCTGAACGAAGTCGATCAGTCTCCCTTTCTAGTGATTTTATTCTTCTTGCTTCATTATTTAGCCTATCATGAAGCAATTTAATCTCATTATGTTGACGATCATTAACATCTTTTTGTTCATGTAAACTACTCTCTAATTCTTTAATACATGATTCCTTCTTTGCAAGAGATGATTCAAGCTCCTGCACATTAAAACCAGGGAACAAAAAGTCCAAAACAATCAGGAAAGATGAAACATTTAGGAGTGAAGAATAGTTTGTACATTTATTTTGGTTCTGGGAAGAAAGAGGGGGGGCTTGGCTTGAAAGTAATGAAACAGCATAGAATTTCAAGACCTGAACAACAGTTCCACTGGCCACTTCATCACCTGCTTCTCCATTCTTAGGCCTCTTTAATTCATTAATAACATTTCTCAACCTATCTCTCTCTTCAGTAACCATAGAAAGCTGCAATATAACAGTTTACCTTTTAAAAAATAAACAATAAATAAACCAAAGATTAAATGTGTTAGGCATCAGAATTAGTAGAAAAGCCCACATTCATCACCCCAGCAGGTCTTTGTTATGCAGGTACAACCAACAATTAATTCCATAAATATACATTTAGGATCATTTGCTTAATATCAATCACCCATACAACTATAAATGCCAATAAGCTATACTAGCTCAACTAATATAATCAAATCTAGACCTGGCGATTCATACATTTATGTCTTGTAAAATACTAACAATTCTTATATTCACGCTGTGTTTTGTACAAAAATTACATGTCACAATTCATGTTGACACGAAAACATATAAAACATTTTTTTGCTAAAATTTTAAACCATGTCTCCTTTATATCCTTTATTCGTATTATTTTCATGTCATATCACCGTATTGTGTTTTAGATTGCCAACTTTATTCAAAACCTATCTGTTCACTTATTTAAAAATGTATTCTCTTTGCATTTCTCGGATATGCTATATTTACCTGGTATCAGCAAAGAAGGAAGTTACAAGCATTGAAAGTTTATAAACATGATCAAAAGATCAATATTCAATGACAAAAGTTATATTAAACAACCAAATTTACTAAGCCTTCATTGTAGCCACATCATGCATCCTTACAAATTATCCTTACAAATTAAAAAACGGCAAATTGCATGCAACAACCATTCAACTTGTTCTACAGAAAGATTAAATCAAGGGAACTCATGGACTCTTCCCTACCCCTTAACCAAAATAGAAAATAAATAAATAAAATAACTAAACAAAAGGGCCTGAGGGCAAATTTGCCACTATACTCTATCTCAATGTTGAATTTTGCCACTCTACTTTAATTTGATTAAATTTGCTACTAAAACTTTTATTTTTATTGAATTTTGCCACTAAACTTTGATTTTGGATGATTTAAGAAAAATTTTAACAAAAAGAGTATTCTTTTTTAATAATTAACAATACTAAATTAATTAATGAAAAATATTAAAAAATAAAAAACTAACATAGAATTTTTATTTTATAAAAAGTAAAAAAAATTTCTCTTCTTCTTTTCTTTCTTTTTCCTTTTTTTTTTTAATATTTTTCAAGCCATAGGTGACTAGTGATGGCATCAGTTAGTAGTGATGCTCTAAAGCCAAATTTGGCAGACCAAATCTAGCATATCTCTTCCATAATGTCATTTTTCTAAACTTTTTTATCATTTTTGTATTTTTCTTCTTTGCATATCATTTTTTAATTTTTAATTTGATACAAACAAAATATTTTGCATTTTCCTTCTTTGACACATCATTTTTTATTTTCTTAATTTTTAATTTGGTAAAATAAAGAGAATACTTTATTGAATATTCCATTCTTGTTAAATTTCAGAAAAACAAAACCAACATGAAAAAATTAAACTAATGACATTGTAGAAGAGACATGTCAAATTTGGTGTTCGAAGACCAAATTTGACTTAGAGGATAACTACAAGCTACTGTCATTATTGCTTACCAGTGACTTGAAGAATAAAAGAAAGACTGAAAAAAAAAATTTAAGCTTTAGTTTTTCATAAAATTCTATGTAAGTTTTTTTATTTTCTAATATTTTTATTAATTAGTTTATTATTGTTAATTATTAAAAAGAAATATTTTGAAGGATTTTTTTTTTGTTAGATTTTGTCTTAAAATCATTCAAAATCAAAGTTTAAAGGCAAAATTCAATCAAAAATCAAAGGTTAGTAGTAAAATTCAATCAAAATAAAGTAGTGGCAGAATTCAATTTTGAGGTATAGGGGCAAATTTGCCCTTAACCCGTTAAAAAAATAATCCCTTCGTCTTGTAGTTAGTTTTACATGCTTCCAGGTGAAAAACAAAGTGAACTGCTCTACTGCAATTTGATTAGATCTTCATATGCTACTATCTTTTATTTTCTTAGCCATTTAAGCCATTATATTACTAGTGTTCTCAAGTTTAACCCCCTATAAATTAGGGTAACTATAATGAACCCCAAGTTACAAATGTAATTTCCCTCGGATTCTTGTCGTAGAAAGTGTTAGCAATCAATGGAAAGCCAAAGAATTATAACATCCAGAAAATGGCATCTATCTACCGCATATAACACTTACCATGAATTCAATCCGCTTGACCTCTGATTTCAAGACTTCTGCCTGCTCTTTAGCCAACACAGCATCAGCTTCAGCATTCGTTTTAGCAAGTTGTGCAGCATCCAGTCCTACCTCAATTTGCTTCAAGCGTGCATTTGCCTCACCTATCTTAATTGTACTGTCAATCACTTCCCTGCATGGAAAAGGAAATCTCAACATAAGCAAAATAAGACATAACTAACAAAACACAAGAAACAACAATAGCTTCATTGATAAAAGATTCAGGCATGAATACATAATATCTAAGTAACTTCAAAATTGCATAAGCATGTATTTCATTATATCGTTCTATAAGACACAGTGATTATAAAACTAAGAACCCCATGTATCAGATCCTTCCAAAAGGAATAGTAATGAGGAAAATAAACAAATAATTTCAGGGGAAAAGATCATAGCATAACTATTTTTAAGAAAATGGGCTGTTAAAAGGAAAGGGCAATTTCAAGTGGTCCCAGCCGGGACAGGAAAAAAAAATGAAAAGGAGGCAGATGAAGACATATTGCAAAATGATTATTACAACATGCTTTCACTCATCCTAGAGGACTCCAACCTACAACCAACAAGTAAAACTATCTTTCTGATTTCAGAAATCAAAAACTTACTAACAAAAAATAATAGAAAAATACTCTATTTCATCTCCTTCAGCAACACCCAACCTAATGCAATGGAGAAAGTTATAAGATCATATTAACAATTACACATTCAAAATTTAGGGGGAGCAAAAAAAAAAAAAAAAAAAACCTCTAACAACTTTGTCACTGCTTTTGTATATTTGGCTAATCAGATAGGCCATAATATTTAAACCAAGAGAGTTCAAAATAAGCTGCTAGCATACTTTTGTAACGTTGCAAACTTGACAAGTATATCTTCAGGACATGACACGCCAGGTATGTCCATCATCATCAGCTTCCAAGATGACAACTCATTCTCCAAGTTGTTCAAAATTATCATTTGCTCTTGCAACCTAGATAGCTCTGATTCTACTCTCTCTCTGCGGCCCTTCTCTTCCAGTAATTTTGCCTTCAATAACTCAATGTCCTCATGAGATGATTTCAACTTTCTTGCCTCTCGTACTTCAGACTCCTGATGAAATTTGAACCCAAAAACAAAAGAGTAAGGAAAGCACTTGTGAAAAACTGTCACTTCACAACTAAATATGAAATCAACAATAGAAGTCATTTTCTGAAAATTTAACTTGCAATTTTCAATTCCAAACAACAAAAAGTACTTCATGATACCATTCAATCATCTTGCATATTCTGCAGTTGTAGTTGAGCTTGTCCCAAAATCTTTTATACTAAAGAAAAAAATAAAGACACTATATCCAATCAAACCAATACTTATAGCAATTATTTGTTACCCATACTGAACAAGAAGCTGCAGAATGTCATGTATGTTGAACCATAAGAGTGATACAATATTAAAAATTGATGAAAAGAACAAAGAATTATTGACATGAGAACTATGTTAATGCAATATAATATTAATTACTGCTTGAGTTAAAATACAATCAATGTATAAATGAGAAAGAAATAAGGAATAATATGTACATAGTTTATTGGTTTATACTTTGACATGGACACAAATATGAAACGGGGTGGAAATGTTTTCTAACAAGAGTGAAACTGTCTTGCAGCAAGGCTTTGCAATAGGACCCCCAGTAATCAAGGTTGGAAACCTTCCCCTTGCCACTACCCCAGTTAAAGGCCCCTTTCTCCAGAATTTTGAAAAGAACTGGTCAGTTTTCTTTAGTTTTCTCCAAGGCATCAACATTTTAGTTGAATCACGAATCTAGGCAACTGCAAAAAGGCATATAAAGAGAGAACAATATGCCATACAGGAATTAAGACTATCATGCAAAAGTGATAAATGAAATGAGCAGTCTGAGTTAGCCTTTAGAAACATAGCTTATATTTACACTCCAAACCTTTTATAGTACTTATTTTATTTAGTTTTTCCAAGATTAATTCAACAAAATTATCAGCAACAAAGGAGATAAGAACAAAGCCTTACGCAAATTGTGGACTAAGAGATCAAAGAGAAAATATACATGTATCAAGCAGTAGACAACCCAGAGCATCCTCCACTCATGCAAATGATCAGTAGAGAAGCAGAATTTCTCTGATTAATTCACAGACATACATGTACATGTTTTTGAATGTGAAATGCCAAACCACTCAGTATATTCAAATTTGCAGTGTGTGTATTTTAACATAGATATGGCTAAATTTGTACACAAATAAGAAAATTTATCATAAAGGATTTAAAAGAATGACAACGATCATTGAACAAGGACTAAAAAGTATGCCCGGAAAACAAAAACTTACATAGTTTCTAAGCTCCTCTTGCAAATGCTTAATCAAAATATTACTCTCGGTGGAAGAAACTTCTTGAAAGGTGAAACTTGACAACTTCTTCTCTACTTCACTCTTTTGATGTAAGCACTGCAAAACCACAAAATTGACAGGTTCATTAAAATAAATATAAAATAAAATAAATTTCCAAGCTACACCCAGCAGAATATGCACAGTTTGCATCTTGAATAATAAGACTTCACAAATCTAACATTCAATCATAAAATAAAGTCATGACAACAGCAACAATTTTAAGTAATTCACCAAAAACAAAAAAGAATAAAAAAGTTGAGTTATGACAATGGGAAACACAACAAGCTCTAAATTGCAAGAGGTGCATTCAAAGTCCAAGTACAAAAATCAATTAATGTGTAAAATTGTAAGTAATCAGGACACGAGAAAAACCTCATTAAATTGTTTCTTAAGATCCTCCAGCTGCTCTTTCAAAAGCTCTGATTCCTTCTCAGCATTATTAGCTCTAAATTCCATTCTTTCAAGCTACAAACCAGACAAAGTATGGATTAGACTAACATAAATGCTAATGATGTTCTTTTATCAATTAAATAAACAAGTTTAGGTAATGACATCAGCACTTATTCTGGAAACAGAAAGCTTTGATTCTCCTTTCAGCTGAGTAAGCTCATTGTGAAGTCGCTTTTTCTCCCTTTCTATGCTTTGAGAAAGTTGATTATGTTTTCCCTCTAAACCAGTTGCTTTCTCTTCGGCAGATGCTGCAGAGGACTCAGCTCTTTTGCGAAGGTTAATCTCATTTTGCAGCTTCCCCTGTTACATAAAACAAATGGTAAGAATATTGAGAACATGCCTTCAAAGACAGCAGACTTACACACTGAAAATAAATAAGCATAAACCATTTTTCAAAAATGAGAAAAACCAACAGCTATATATGAGGCAAGTGCAACAAAATACTAATACGCCAATACAAAAAAATTTTAAATCTTAGGAAATGACACTGCTGAGGAGGTCAATTGAAAATCTCACAATCAAACACAAAAACAATAGCTTTGCCTACGGCATCAACAACACACGCTAAGAATTCAGTTAGGACAAGTGAACCAATTAAAATGAGGTCAACTCATCTATGGTACAAACACACAATCAAGATAATAAAGCACGTTACTATAGTATCGATAAAGGTCATTCTAATATAATTAGTTTTTCTAATTTACAAAGCATTAACAAGTCACCCCTCATCCTCAAAAAACCTGGGCCCTAACTAGGCATATAAGGGTTACTTAGGCTTTTAAAGTCTACTAGCATTTTCTAGTAACTGGAATGAAAATGTAGAAAATAATACTCGGCGCGCTCATTTATGAATTAATACCTGGAAAGCCCATTTCGTAATTCAAAAAACAAAGGCTTGTTCAAATTTGGTTCTTTCTTGTTCCATTTGATTCTTTTCATAAATGGAAAGCATGACTATAGCTGCTTCTAGCAAGACCATGTAATCTTGCAAAAGGATGCCTTGTTAGCATACTTTTTAACTGCAAAAAACAGGTTATACCTGAATCACAATTAGCAACAGTATCGTAACTTGCTGTGCTTTCCAATCAGTAGATCGGTTTTATATGTTCTAAAAGGCTTCTTAGTTTATGTTATTCATAATTAAAGCAAAAGGTAATTAAACATTCAAAAAGAATAGATATCTCAATCAGTCTCATAAAAGTAGGTAATTAAACATTCAAAAAGGAATCGATATCTCAATCATTCTCATAAAAGTAAGTTAAAAATGGAACCTGAAGCGCATTGTGCGATTCTAATTGTTTTTTGAATCTTTCTTGTGAATTATTGACTTCCTTCAAGAGCTGATCATGCAGCTTTTGCTCACGTCCTTTTGCAGCAGCTAGCTCTTGTTCTGCATAGAGGAATTGATCCCTAAACTTTTTCCTCTCTGCTTCTGTAAAGATTAGAATTACTTCAGCTAAAATTATGAAAACCAATACAAACATAAATTTAAAGGATTCAGACAATACCCGGGAAAATAATGCATCATGCCAGATTTAACATCAAATAATCAAACATCAATAATATATATCACAACAAGAAGCTCCACTTTTACCATTTTTCAAAGAGTATGGGCTCAAATAAGCTAAATTTCCATTAAAATTCAAAAGCAACACCTATAAAGAATTTGAACATAAATATAAGTAGATAAATCTGGGCAGAATTTAGTTGCTCATTACCGTATAACTTTTCAGAGTAAAGTTTTGAACCTTACCATAAAAATAATAATGGGGCTAACCACAACTAGTTGGGAATAGGCTTATTAAAATTGAGTTGACAATCTATGTTAAGATGTTTAAAACCTAACCCAACCTCATAATTTATCCCCTTTCTCCTGAAGGAAACACTTCATAATAAAGAATGGAGGAAAAAGAAATATTAATGGGAACAACCACAACTAGTTTGTGATTAGGCTTATCATAGTTGACTTCAGCATCTATGTTAAGATGCTCAAAACCCATCCCCATCCTTATATTTTTTCCTCTTTCCCCTCGTGGAAGTTCTATAAGCGTTTGACACTATAGAAAAACTGGTAAAAGAAAAATGAATATGAATTATAAATTACTATGGATGATTGTTGCTTTTACTATTTTCTTTTTACTTCTGGAAGCAAGAAGCAAAAAGAAAAAAGCAAAGGTGCTTGGAAATTTTTGAATAATTAAAATTCCGTTTTTCTTATGAGGACAAAATGAATGTATGATTTTACTTTTGTATGTTAGAATTGGTGTTGCTTTCGTTCAATTGTTCATTTTTAATTAATTATAATTTTGCTTTTCAGCAATATCTCAGAAAGCAAATGAAGCATAAATGTTTCACGCATGGAAAGTCATGTGATAACAGAACAGTTGCTGAGTAAAACTTAAAATACACAAAATTTGCACACACCCATACAAATATAAGTACTTAAATGATATTTTAGAGCAAAGTGTAGAAATAAGCTACCAGCTTTGGAAAAGTTTTCATTTAATGCCTCTAGTTTGGACTGATAATCACGTATTTGCTTCTCTGCATTGCTCAAGGCATCTAGAAAATCTGCTTTAACCTAAGAAAACAAAACAATAAGATTTGAAAAAAAAAATCGAATATGAATGCTGAATGCTGCATAAACTAACACCACGTTACCATCTGGCGGCATTGATAAGTACAGAGGAGGTGATCGGAGGGCTGGTGAGATGATTCCTGCGGAGGCGCAGCCGGAGGGTTGTCTTCGTAGATAACAAGGCGTCCCTCAGAGGCGGCCACCGCTGATGGACTGTCCTGAACTATGGGTTCGGCCCTTTGCCTCTTGGATGGTGGAGTCCTCAGTATCATATTGTCTCCCCCTTCCCCCCAAATTCAAAATTCTAGGGTTTCTCTCTCTCACCGATTCAGAACGAAATCTGAAAGAGAGGACAATGGCGCATATATTTTCAAACAATGACAGACATCACACTTATATATAGCCCTGCCAGCCCAACTGAGTGCGCCACCTTTAATTTTTTGATAAAAATATGCCAAAACTTAGCGTTCTTTGGATGAGCTTTAACATCGGTTCCTTATATTAAAAACTAGTTTGAGTATTTCAAAAAATAAACGACGGTACATTTAACAATAATCTTTTTTAAATTTATTCTTCCTCCATTCTAAAATATTTACCATGCATTAATTTTTACATCATTTAAAAAAAATTTTGATTTTAATATATTTAATATTAAATTTTAAATTTTTTTATAAAATTAAATTTTTCTAATTTTTAATATTAAAAAATAAAAAAATCATAAAAAATAATTTTAAAATATAAAATAATATAATATAATTTTAAAATATCTTAAAATATATATATAATAGAAGGGATAGTTGTCCAACAAATTAACAAATGTTGTGCTCTTTAGGCAACAAAAGCGTTTTATCATAAGTACTAGTGTTGTAACTTCGTTTGGTTTGAGATTAATTGAGATTAATAATTTTTTTAAAGTGTATTGTAAAAATAGAATTAAAGATATTTAAATGTATTGTATTTGTTTTTATATATTAAATAAAAAATTGAAAGTTAGACATATAAAAAAAATATTACAATTTACTAAAAGGGAATAATTATCCAACAAATTACTACGTGTCATATTTTTAGTGTTATAATCTTATTTTGTCTAAGATTGATTGAGATCAATAATTTTTCTAAAGTGTATTATAAAAATAGAATTAAAGATATTTAAATGTATTATATTTGCATTTATATATCAAATAAAAAATTAAAAGTTAGACATATAAAAGAAGTATTACAATTTAGTGAGAGAATAAAAAATAATAGTACAATTTTGCTTTATGTATTAAATAAAACAAAAATATGAAACAAATTCATATACAAAAGTAAACTCCCTCAAACAAAATCCAACCAAAAAAGTAAGTTCTATTTTCTCACATCCAAAAACCCATTAAACTTTTAAAAATGGACTGTTCCATTTCCTCACACCCAAAAACCCATTAAACCTAAAAAAATGAATAACTATTATGTGTAAAAAACTTATACAACAACAAATTTTTTGAAAATCCAACCTATAAACAACTTATATTCTCTCATACCTCAAAGCCCACTAAACCAAAAGAATAATAGTTGTCATGTCTAGAAGACTTATCCATATTCTCTTGCATCCTAAAACCCACTAAATCCCAAAAAATAATAATAATAATAATTATTATTATCATGTGTAAAAGGCTTACGGGATTCTTTTTATAGATAGTATAGATAGTAGTATAGATGCCTCTTGGATTTTTTTTCTTACTTTTAGAATTTCTTTTTATTCGTTCATTTATTAAGTCTTAAAAAACAAGATTCCTCATTTTAGCACCATAACGTTAAGGTTTTCAATACCTTTGGTCTCTTTTATCATAAAATTTAATTTTGTAAGTATTTTTTTAGGATTTTCTTCATTAACAAACCAATTCATTCATGAAGATGAAGGAAAAGGTTTCCATGATTAAATTCAAAATGACCAAATCTTTCTCTTCCTTTTTCTTATCCCATCATTTTTGTTTCTCAATCGATTATTCATTCGGTAATGCATGATTTCAATATTCCAAAAGCTTTTATGAAAAAATGAAACAAAAAAAAAAAGGAATTTGATTCAAAAGTTTGCATTTTATTGTTGCATATTCTCACTGATTTACCATTTTTTTCTTTTGTAGAATCCTTTGTTGACAAAACCTAAAGTACAAAGTCATAAAAAATTTTAAGAATTCAATTCAAGAGTCTTTGATTCATTCCTTCAATTTACACGGATTTTCAACTTTAATTAAAAGTATATATTCAACTAATACTCATATCCAGTTTTCAAATGTCTTTTAATTTAGTATGGAAATGATTTTATAAGAAGTTTTCAACATAACATTGTTATTTAATTTCTTAAAATAGTCTAAAAATTTGAATGCAACATCAAAAAATAATTAAACACTATTCCTATTAATTTATTTGTAAAATTACATGTTTTGTGTAAAATTCTTTTGTGAATTACTTAATACAAGGACCATTATTGTTGAGTTAGTTTGCATTTCAAAAAATTATTATAAACTATTTTTATTAATTTTCTTTAAATGTTAACTTTCATATGTAAGGCATTCTGTTATGATTTGCTTACTAAAAAGATCGTTGATGTTGTGTGATCTTTTAAAGACAAATAACAAGATCATATGCATTACTTTTTTATTAATTAACAATTATTCTATATTAGATGTTTTGATTTTTATGCGTACATAGAAATTGTTTACTTAAAAGTTCCTTCAATTATGATAATAGATTTGTCAAATTGGTTGTTTACAAAGTTTAATATTTACAAAAAATTGAGTTAACAAGTATGTCACTTCTATTATTCTACTTATTCTGCATAATAATATTAACAATTTATGTGATGTTAACAATTTTTTTGTTGTTTTTATACTTTGATTGATGTTATGCAAATTCTTTATTATTTTCTTTAAAATGGATTGACAACTATAATGAATGCAAATAGAATTAAAAAAATCCATTAGGATAATCAAAATAGCTATAACATATTATTATTTTTTTACTAGAGATGTTTTTATAAGAATTTTGTTAAAGGATTCCTAAGTCAAAGGATCATAATCTAAAAAGTAAAAAATTACGTTTATAAAAGAGAAAAAAAATATTTCAATAACACTTAAAATGCTAAAGCCATCTACCAACATTTTGATCAGTTTTAGAAATGGGCATATGCCAATAAAGTGGATAATCAGGCTGCCAATCACATTGGATATTGAGCCAAGAAGCATCACCTCAATTATTGAATTTATGGTGGTGGACGTACCTTTAGCCTTCAACATGATTCTAGGCTGATATTACGTTTATAAAAGAGAAAAAAAAATATTTCAATAGCACTTAAAATGCTAAAGCCATCACCACATTTGACAGTTTAGAATGGACATATGCAATAAAGGGATATTAGGCTGCCAATCACATTGGATATTGAGCCAAGAAGCATCACCTCAGTTATTGAATTTATGGTGGTGGATGTACCCTTAGCCTTTAACATGATTCTAGGCTGATATAACAAGTCTGTTATGTAGTTAATTGGCTCAACTTCTCACTTAAAGATCAAGTTTTTAACACCAAACAAAATTGAAGAGGTCAAAGGAGATCAATCCATGATGAGACAATGTTATTTTCATGACGATTAAGTATAAAACTAAGAAGCAGATTGATAGTTTGACCAAAGAAAAAAGCCAAAAAAGACAAAGGTGACCAATGTGAAGATTAAAGAAGTGAAAAAAGCAAAGCAAAACAACTTTGTAAGAAGTAATAAAAAACCAACGAAAAAGAAACACGTTTTTAAGTCATTATGAGTTCTTAAACTCTATACTTATATAAGCTACAAACTTTTACAAATTTTGAACAAATTTATAGAAGCCAAGCTCTCAAGCTAGCATACATATTTGTTAACATGACTGAGCTATTAAGCTGGCCATAAAAAAATTTAAAATAGAAATCTACATTTTGACTCAGTTTTACTTTTTTATTACACCCCATTTTACTAACAACCAAAAACTAACTATTATGTTAGGACTTGTCTTTCTTGTAGGAAACAGTCCTGACTAGAAAGAAATAATTTATCAGAAACCTAAAATCAATGACAACATATTAGAACCAATATAGGACTTCATCTCTATACTATTTTATAAGAAAAATCCTGAAAAATGTGTGTAAATCGAGGTCAACTTGACTATAAAGGACAACTAATTCAACTATTAGGAAATAAAGTTGACCTGTTTGCATGGATGTCATCAGATGTGTTGAGGATTAATCCTAATGTGATAGTCCATATGTTACAGACCGACCTAAACATGAAGTCAGTTCGATAAAAAAAATAGACTTTTAACCCGGAGAGGCAAAAAACTATCGAAGAATAGGTCGATAAACTTGTACAAACATATTTCATCAAAAAAGCATGTTACCGCGATTGAATAGCTAATATGATCATGATGAAAAAGTACAATGAAAAATAGAGAATTTACGTCAATTTTATTGACCTCAACAAAACTTACCCAAAAGATACTTTTTTTCCTTCCCAACATAAATTCGCTAGTTGATGATAACATCAACCATGGCCTGTTCAGTTTCATAGATGCCTACTCAAGCTATAATTAAATCAAAATATTGAAAGAAAATGAGAAAAAAAAAGCCTTTATTACTGAAAAAGGTTTATAATGCAAATCCTTGAGTTTTTTTTCAAAATTTACTTTGAAGCTATGATACTTGAACAAAACACAACGATCCTGCTTAGATTATAGCTTGAAGAAAAAATAAAAAAAACTCATCATATAAATGATAATATATGGCATTCATAGGAAACAAGCATTGACGAAAGTAGTAAAAAAGGAAATAAGAGAATAGAGTTAAAAAGAAAAATATGCAATACCATAAAAGAAGAGAGCAAAAAATTAGAGTTTGAAATGATACGAAAATAATGAATAAAGGAAAGTAAAAGGGATTTCAAGTTTCAAACTTTGAAGCAAATTGCTCACTTCCTTTACTCTACAATCACTGCTTCTCAACCCCTGACCTCTTGATTTTGAACTCGCTAAAAATTGTATTTTCTTCACTTACCATTCCTTGATTTTGCACACCTTTAACCTTCATTTAAAAAAAAAAATTTAGAATTCCAAGAATTTCTTTATTCAACTCTATCATATTAATTAATATAATAAATAATTAAATTTATATAAAAACTATTCAAAATATAACAAATAGCATAAATTAGAATTTTTAAAAATAATGTTGTGAATAGTTGTAATTGAGAAATTACTTTCAATATTATTATTTAGATGTTTAGATAAGGAAAAGCATTTATGACCATTTTTTAGGGATATTATGACTCAAATTTTAATCACATGATAATAATTTTATTTTTTTTAAATAAATCACATGATAAATAGATTTGGTAATTTCATAATCAATTAAGAGGTGACAAAAAGATTGTATCTATTTTTAAATTAGATTTTATTCGCTCTATCTTTTTTATTATAAGTAATTTTTTTACATGATGATTACAATAAAATTTTATATTTAATATATTGTCAATGAATAGAATTATCAAATGGTAAAATTTCATTAATAAATAAATATTAACCTTTAAGAAAATATAAAATATTAATATTTAAAAAAATTTATTCATTAATAAAATAATATCATATGATTTATATCATTAATAAAATAATATCCTTTCATAATAAATCAAATATAAAGCCCTAATACCTAACTCTTTAATTCTTTTTAATGTGCATTTATTGTAAAATATTTAAATCCCGTGGGAGAAATTGGTAACTTCCAACGGATTTTTTTACTAGTTACTCGTAAGTAGGAGAGTAGGAAAATATAAGCCTCAAATCAATTTGTTAAGACCGTAGTACAAGGCTATGATTTATTATTATTAATTAAATAATAATAAATTATTTATTTAATTAAAATAAGAAACGAATAAGCTAAATTAATGGGGAGTTGTTGCGCGTTAACGGAGGGACAAGACAGCCCAATGACGCTGTGGGAATTTGAACGGCAGCCGCTGTTCTATTTTTCATTTGTTTTTACAATAAAAATAATAATTAAAATAAAATTTTAAAGACAAACAACAATGTAATAAAATGGAAGTATAGGATTTTTTTAGTTTTTATTTTATTAGAGTATTTGAAATTAAGAGTGTAATTAAATCAAGTCGAGTTGAATAGTGAGAAGTTTGAGTTTGAGTTCGACACATAATTTGAGGTTCGATACTTGGTTTGAGTTCGATCGAATTTTATTTTTTAAGTTCGAGTTCGATTTGTGATCGAATTCGAGTTACTCGAGCTCGTTCGATTAAACTCGATTAATATATAAAAATAAGTTCGATTCGTATACTCGATAAAAGTTCGATTATTTATGTTTAAACTCAAATCGGATTCGAAATATTTTATTAATTAAAATAATAAAAATATATTTAAATATAAAAATTTGATTAGGCTTGTGAGCTACTCGAATGAAATATAAAAATATTTGAATTCGGCTCGATCGATAAGTCGAGTTATTCGAGCTCGAACTCGACAATAATCGAACCGAATTCAAATTTTCTTTTAATCAAATTTGAGTAACTCGTGAGTACTAATGTATCATTTATACTTTTATTTTGAGTGTGAAGAGAAGAAACAATATAAAAACAAAAACAAAAGAAAAAACGTAGAGAGAGAAAAAGAACAGAAATCGAGGCAGCCTTAGCCGATAGAGGTCGTGTCAGCTTTGACCGAACATTAACACACAGTCCAACTGTTTGCCTTCTCTCTTTCTTCTTTTTTCTTTTCAATTTCTTTGCGAATTTTTGGATCTGCTTTCTTTTTCAAGCCCTAATTTTTCTCTCTTTGGATCCTTCCAATTGAACAGTGAGTACTCAAAGGTATGCTTTTTTTTTTTTCTTTTAAGTTAATATTTTTTTTGTGTACTTTGGTTGATAAGAATTGAAGAAAAGAGGGGAAGAAATGCTGATTAATGATTGCACTGCAAGACTGAAAATTTTGCTTACTACTGACCCAATTAGTTTTCTTCACTGTTCCTCTTTATTTTTTTTTGATATTTTTATTAGATCCCAATTCATTTTAATTCCTTTTATAAAAAACCTATTTTCATTATATTCTCTCTTTGTCATGTATATGATAATTATGCATAATTATTGTGATTTCCGTAATTGCACAATTGTTGGGGTTGATCCCATTTTCGGTTTCAGTTTTCATGTTTAGAATTCTAAATTTTGGGTTTCTTTTTATAGTAAAGAACAATTTGGATCGTTGCACAATTATTGGGTTTCTTTTCATATTATATTTGTTTTGTTTTAGGGTTCATTTAAGGCGCAAAGTAGAGGAGACTGACACATAGGTAGTAATAAAGGCTTTTGATCAGTCTGCTTTGTAGTATAATCAGAAGAAACCATAAAGTAATAGTAAATGCAATCTTAATTAACGGTTTTTCTCTTTTTTGGTGGGGAAATTAATTTATGTATAAATCCAGTTTTGTCTCCTTTAATACAGCCATTGTTCTATCACAGCACAGGGTTTCCATATATTGATTGCTTTGTGGTGGTGTTTCTATGGCGTTTGCGGCTTCAAATCTTCCATCTGCTGAACAACAAACAGGTTTGTGATTGGAGCTTTTCTTCTTGCAACTTAAATGAACAGAATTTTGAGCTGAGTAAATGTTTATGACATGGTGTACATGTTTTTCCATGTTTTTAATATAGAGAGAAAATTCACAGTGGTTGATGGTTAACATTGTAGTTTAAATGAAAATTCATGATAGGGATTGGATTGAGCTGATTGCAACCATAATGATATTTGCATGAAATTCTACACAATACTACATTAAATTTGAAAGGGATGCTGCATTATATTTCAAGCTGAACTGTTGGTTCACAAGCATAGCAGATATATTTCTTGGTATTAAAGAATATTATGGTGACTTCAATTTATTTTGTCATCTTTGTCTACACATTTTAGGTGTCATAGATGATTCTTTGTATCGGGAACTATGGCATGCCTGTGCTGGACCACTTGTCACACTTCCTCGTGATGGGGAGCGTGTTTATTACTTTCCACAAGGTCACATGGAACAGGTATGTCAACTGTACATCTAATAAATTTTTTAAATTGGTTATATTTCATAAGTTAAAATGTTAATCTGCTTCGAGTTGTGCTTGTTAAAACCTTGGTTGGATGGGTTTGTAAACTCTTACCTTTTTGTTCTTATTTTGAGTTGCCTTCTGTCAATATTCTTTTCATATTAGTTAATCCAATTAGCATTTACTATTTGCAAGCATGATTCTTGGTTCTTGGTTATCTTGGGCTAGAAATTATCTGGTATTGATATTGGGCATTGATTTTTTTGAATTTTGGTATGATTCTCTCTTTTTGGTGAATCACTAATAATAATATGTGCGAGGGAAAAAAATGAACTTCTTATGCATTGCCTTGAAACCTTATTAACTTATATTGTTCTAACATATTTGAGAATTGCTATCAATTCATATGATGCAATGAACTTTTGAAGGTTTATAGATAGATATAATTTCCTCGATGTATAGATTGTGTAATAATATATATCTGTTATGTATGTATATCTGCAAATGTTTGTATGCCATGCAATTTGCTTGCAATATCTTTCTGTGTGTCAGTTGCCTGATGGTTACAGTCAAGTTCATGTTTGTTATATATTTGGATGATTAATTAGAATGCCTTTGTGTTTGATTGAGTTTTTCTAATAAAACTCCATGGTATCTATTGAAGATTTCTATCCCTAATTATTAGTCATTATTCATTTTTGTGTTTAGGTTTTATAGTTTTACACATGTTCCTTCTATTTATCTCTAGTAGTTCTCTTTTTTTTCTTTCTTTTTGTTCTCTATATACAGCTTGAGGCATCAATGCATCAGGGGTTAGAACATCAAATGCCTTCATTCAATCTGCCATCTAAAATACTTTGCAAAGTGGCATCCGTTCAGCTTAAGGTAAGTTATTCATACTTATTGGTTTTACTTTCTTTTGAGTTATACTACTTCATTTCCTTGTGCTAAGGACTTTTACTTTCAAGAGCAGGCTGAACCTGATACAGATGAAGTTTATGGGCAAATAACTCTAGTACCTGAAGCAGATGTGAGCTCTCTCCTCACCTTGTCTTTTTTCCTCCCTCTCTTTCATCATAACATGTAGCTGATGTTCAAAAGCTACATTTAGTTTCTAGAATCTCTTGTTGTAATTACTTTGAATGAGTAGTATATATCTCTCTGTACATTTGGCTGTCTTGACTTATTTGTTTTCTCCAATATGGTCCAGCAAAGTGAGGTTACAAGCCCGGATGACCCACTTCCAGCACCAGAAAGGTGCATAGTCCATTCATTTTGCAAGACTCTTACTGCTTCTGACACAAGCACCCATGGTGGATTCTCAGTTTTGCGTCGGCATGCTGATGATTGTCTGCCCCCACTGGTCAGCTTAAACACATTGGTTGTATTTCCTTCATTTTGATATACTCCATATGTTAGAAATTTTCTGAATTTTCTATGTGGTTCCTTTTTTCCCAGGATATGACCCAGCAGCCACCTTGGCAGGAATTGGTTGCAACTGATCTGCATGGCAATGAGTGGCATTTTCGGCATATTTTTCGAGGTTATATATCATTGTCTTTTAGGCTGATGTTTTACTAAGTTGCCTTAGTGAGAGCTACAAAATTTTCAAGCATCTTGGCTGAAAGCTTGTTCAAAGTTGTTTTGTATTTTACGCTATCTGGTTACTTGGCACTTCTTTTACAGTGCTTAGCACATTTGGAACTTTTAATGTTTGAATTTTGATAAACTTTTATGAATATGGAGTTAAAGACAAATAAGTTCCAAGCATCTTATGACCTTGAATCAAGTATCTTGAAATTATATAGGTCATAGTTTGTTAGAATTAGGGAAGAGCCTTTTAGGCACTTGTTGGTTGCCACTAAAATTTCATGGAGTTGGAATCAATAGCAATGTGGGGACAACTGGCTCTTTTCAGTGGGATAACTTATTAGAAAAAATGTTGAAGTATTTATTTGTTTCAGTGGCATGCTTCTTCACATGTCATCTTCAAATGGTTAAGTTAATATTAGTTTTTTAAGTAGATTGGTGTCTTTCACGAATCATGAAATTGATACTTATAGAAACTGGAAGAATTGATTTTCTAAAGTGAAAACTCAAGAAGTTAAATGAAAATTTGTTTTAGGTTGATCCCTTTATAAAGAACTATGGGCTTTTGAAAGGTGAATCATCATGCTTGCGAACATCTAGCTGTTTTTGTTTCTGAACAGAATGTGTTCACTGTTTTTGCACCGTTATCATAATTCAGAGCCGTCTGATGGGTTCTTCAATTTTTCTATTTTTTTTCAATCTCTCTAATTTGCGGGTACTCATTTACAGTTGAAAAATTAAAAGTATTATTTATAGTTTATCTTTTCAGGCATCTGTTACTTCTCTGATGTGCAGTGATTTGAAGGTAATATTATCAGTTCTTACCATTAGCATGTTAACTTTTATTTGCAGGGCAACCTAGGCGCCATTTACTCACTACTGGGTGGAGTGTCTTTGTTAGTTCCAAAAAATTAGTAGCTGGTGATGCATTCATATTCCTGAGGCAAGATCTGTCTTTCTTGGCAAACAAGATATCTATTCTCCTTTGTTTCTTTTATTTAATCCACTGACCTATGTATTCATATTTACTGCTTTCCAGGGGTGCAAATGGGGAGCTGCGTGTTGGAGTGAGGAGGCTTATGAGACAACAGGCAAACATGCCATCTTCTGTTATATCTAGTCATAGCATGCATCTCGGGGTGCTTGCCACTGCATCTCATGCCATTGCTACCCGAAGTATGTTTTCTGTCTTCTACAAGCCCAGGTTTGTAACATCGTGCAGAGCGAACCAATTCTACCCCTGTGTCATCCTCTGTCCTTTTATCAATTGTATTAGCTATTTTTGTTGTTATTTTTATCATTATCATCATCATCATCATGATTTTTATGTTATTTACTATTTGGTTAAATTTTAGAAATCAGATTTTTCAGATTTTGTGTTAGTGCATATTTGTACATTTTATGTAGTTGTCTTTCTTGTTTGACCCTGAATTTGATTCTTTTGGATTGAGGCTATATGCATCTTTTTATCTATTCTGAGGTCATAATTTATTTTTTCTTCAGCGTGTATTAAAGATACTCTTCCTGAGGGATGAGGTGCATTAGACATAGGAATATATCCTCAGATGCAAACAAATGAAAGAGTTTGATCCAATACTTTAGGAAGGTGATATTAATTGTGACAGAATATATACAATGGCATAGGGTATGGTATTATTTGCCTGTACATGTCTTTCTTTTTCCTTTTTCTTCTTATTTTGTGGCATTTTATTGGGGTCCACTAAATCAATGATCTTTTTAGGTCTCCATTTGTTTAGACTTCTGAATATTTTTTATAGCCCTGATCATTCTAAAGTTGAGTAATTCGTGTGTTTTCTTTTTGTATATATTCGAAGAGGATATTTGTTCTAACAAGCATTAATGTTTATCAGAACAAGTCGGTCTGAGTTCATTGTGAGTGTAAATAAATATCTTGAAGCTCGAAACAGTAAGCTATCTGTTGGGATGAGGTTCAAAATGAGATTTGAGGGTGAAGAGGTTCCTGAAAGAAGGTATCCTTCTGACTGCATTGTTTTCCTTGGAGTATGAAATTGTTAGTGCTTGTTAACCGGTTACCTTTACATGCCTGTAGATTCAGTGGCACAATTGTTGGCGTTGGGGATAATAAATCAACTGGATGGGCTGATTCTGAGTGGAGATCTCTAAAGGTTAGCCAATTTCTTCTGTCATGTCTTATTTGTTCTCCATTGAGACAAGAAACACTTTTGGGATATTTGATTTGTGAAACTCTTGTTATAATTTTGGCTATTTCCAGGTTCAATGGGATGAACCTTCATCAATCCTGCGTCCTGATAGGGTGTCCCCATGGGAATTGGAGCTACTTGTCGCAACTAATACATCTTCAAACTCCCCACCTGCTCAAAGGAACAAGCGGGCTCGACCTTCTGTTCTACCTTCATCATCTTCAGATCTTTCTTCACTTGGTACAATTGTCTACTTGTCAGTACCTGTGTTTTAACTCTTACTTGAGATGTTAACTGAACACTTTATGCAGTAGGTATGCGGAAATCACCGGTTGAGTCTTCTGCTTTCTCATATTGTGAAGCACAACGTGGACAGCCATCACCTAAATTCTCCTCTGCTGGAAAGCCTAACTCTGTTAGCTTCAGTGGGAATGGTTCACTGGCAGCAGCTTCTAGCAACTTAACATATTGGTCTAACCGAGTGGAGAGTGTTAGAGAATCTTTTGCACCAGTTGTTAGCAAAGAATCTTATGAAAGAAAGCAGGGCACTGGGAATGGCTGCAGGCTGTTTGGTATTCAGTTACTTGACAATGTGAACATGGAAGAAAATTCCCCTGTGGCTACAGTTTCTGGGACTGGGGGAGATGACCGGCCTGTTCCGTCACTAGATGCTGACTCTGACCAGCACTCTGATCCGTCAAATCTTAACCGGTCTGATCTTCCTTCTATAAGTTGTGATCCTGAGAAGTCATGCATGAGATCTCCTCAGGAGTGGCAGAGCAAGCAAATTCGTAGCTGCACAAAGGTCATTCAATCACATTTTTTTTTGTTTCCTAGTAAGAAAATACCTTAGAATCCCCTTGAAAGATTGCAATTCCTTTGGTTGTCTAATTATTCATAACTTTATGATTTTTTTGTCAAGATCTATTTGCATTTTAGTTGAAAATTGTCTTCACGCTAGAGGAAACATTATGGAAAACCTTCTAAAAAGATTGATTTACATCTTAGTGAACTTCTTTTGTGTATTGATGCAGCACTTTAAATGTGCAGAGGTATTTCGTTAAATTTTTTTTTTCTCTCTAAATTTCCATAGAAGGATGTGGTGCATGTTACAAACATTGTAGAATTTTATGAAGCGTGTCTTTTTCAGGTTCATATGCAAGGTATGGCAGTTGGAAGGGCCGTTGATTTGACGCGATTTGATTGTTTCAAGGACTTGCTAGCGAAGCTGGAGGAGATGTTTGACATCAGAGGTCAGCTTTGTGGATCTGCTAAAAATTGGCAGGTTGTCTATACTGATGATGAAGAAGACATGATGATGGTTGGGGATGATCCCTGGAAGTAAGTTCAGCCTTCCTATCTCTTTCACTGGTTCTATATTCTTGGTGCAGGATATTCCTAAATCCATCACTTATTTGATTCTTAGGATCCAACCATTAAAATGTTGTGTAATGTCTATTGATTAGTTAGTTATTTTGATTTTTTGTACATTCTCCACTTATTAAAATGATGGGCAATATAAATGGTAAAAGGACACAAATCGCACCACTTTGCTTTTAGCCCAAGAGAGAAAGGTATAATATCTTAAGAAATAAGCTTCAGTTGTTTTCTTTCATCTTTGTCAATTTATCAGACAAAATTTTATTGTTCTTTTGAGAATGAGTGATTGAAATAAAATTCTTGGAAAGTTTGAAAATATCTAATTGAGATTTTATGCTACAGTGTGAATCCGAGCTCAGTGGTGGTTCAGCTACTGATTCCATTTTATCCCGTTGAACTTCTTTTGCAGTGAGTTTTGCAACATGGTGAGGAAAATTTTTATCTATACATCAGATGAAGTCAAAAAGCTATCACCCAAGATAAAACTTCCGGTCAATGATGATATCATACCACCGAAGCCTGGTGGTGACGCAGTTGTCAACCCTGATGACCGTTCATCAGTTGTTGGTCCTGGGTGCTAAGGTACCTGGGCCTTCATACAACGCAGGAAAATAGTGCTTTGATAAAAGAGGTTGAGAAAAATGGAACATAATGCTCAAGATTTTGTCTATATCTGGATTTACCCAGATGATATACCACCATTGACATGGCCATTCCGAAATGGCTTAGTATGGCATCCATATCTAGGAGCTTGCTGCTCTGTCAACAAATTCATCTGGAGAGTGAGGCGTGCCTCAAAGATATGGTTAGGTCCTCTTATATAATTAGAGTTTCTTGTTTCACTTTTCCCCTTAAATATTTTTGTGAAGCACTTCTCATTGTGATTGTTCATTCAGATTTTAAAGTAGGCTCAAAAGTTTATTTCTCCCCCCCGTGCTTCAATGGAAGTTGTCCTCCACCTCCTCCATCATCTTCGCCACCTTTTTTTTTTTCTTTTAACCTTGTTTTTCTGTCAATTTATTTTTGTGATATAATATACAACATGTCACATTGGTCCTTTGTATATAAATACATATAGCATTGCTACCTTTTGGTTACCTGCTGATTTATATTTATATATATATATATATTTTTTTGGTTGCCTTTTTATTTTTTTCATTTTGTTGTGTTAAAACAGTTGGCAATTTAAGGGGGGTTTATGAATTTTTTTTTTCTTTTCTGCAGCCTAATAAAGTAGGATTTATGTCAAACAACTTGGTGTTTTCAAGCAGGGTATGTTCATTTGCTTGCTGACCCAAGATGCTGCTCTATGGCCTGCTTATTGTGCAGGCAGCTGTAAGAGGAAGATCCGCTGGGTTTTTTTGGCTGTGTTATCGATCCGATCCGATATTTCTATCCATTTTCTCACGTTAATCCGATGAATTGAAGAAGTTCATAGGTAATCATGAAGCCGCCAATTTTCTTACGTTTTACGACTTTTAAGAGACCTAGACTTTCCTTTGTCTGTCACTTCAACTAAAGGTGTTTTATTATTATTATTGTTACTAAGTCTTTGTAAATAGACTGATTTTTTTTCCTTTCTTTTTGTTAATTTAGCGGTGAATGAAATGAGTCATTTGTGATCTTATCTATGCTGCTTCATTTTCAAATGATAATATTTTTTTCACAATTTGAGGATAAAATATAACCGTACGTTTATTTATTTATTTATTTATATATATATATATCCGTGCATTTAATTTTATTAGTTTTGAAAATTTTTTTTACCATTTCTCAGTTCCTAAATGTGTCATCATTTTATCATGATGATATGAGCAAAATATTCTCCAAAAAAAATTGCAAAATATAGTATTAAAATAAAATTATTTATTAATTAATGCTAATTAATAAAAAATAATTAATTAAAATATTATTGAATTAATTAGTAAAAGCATCAGTTTTTTCCAAAAATATTAAAATTTTAATTAATAAAAAATGTAATTATTTTTTTATCTTAATATTTAATTGAATATAAAATTATAATATTTATCCAAAAACATATTATATGTATGCTTAATAAAAAATAAAAATTACCTTATAGTATATGTATGTCAGTAACTCTAAGAAATTATAAGAGAATGTATATTTAAAAATTATGTTTTAAGATTTAAGCTACTATACTCTATCTCATTCTAAGGTATATATAAGAATATATATTTTATTATTTGTTCAATTTATATTAATAACATTATTATTTAATATCTAAATTTATTAAAATATAGTATTTATATATAATTAAAATATAATTTATATTAAAAATAATATTTTCATAAATATTATATTATTGAATTTATTTTTTTATTTCGAGTTAGGTACAACTTATAAATTTATATATATATGTTGGATCGGAATTAGGTATAAAATATAATAATCTGATCACAAGTACATATTAGAACGAGTATAAACTTATCCTTACTTGACTCATTGCTATTTCTAAATACAAGTGCTAACGTGGCATCCCAATTTAGCTTTTTTTTTTAATTTTCTTTTCTTGGGTGTTTTCCCTTTTTTTAGTTTTTAATTGTTTATTTTAATATTTTTAACTATATTTGTAAAGATAAATTTGAAAGAGTAGATATGAATTTGATTATGTTATATAAGTTATAAGAACAAAATACATATATTATCCATAAATTAATTGATAAATTTTTGCTGATTAATAAAATTAAGAGCGTGACTCAGCATGACACTTGATTTATATTCTTTTAGGTTGTGTCATGCTTGACACAATGTCATTCTTTGTGTTGAAACATGTTACGTATAGTTCATTAATAGTTTTTCAAAATTTTTATTATTTTTTACATAATTTTTTTTCTCATTTTTTTCAACTATCCATAAAATTATAAACGAATACTTAAGGCATATAATCTATTGGTCGACAAAATATCTATTATGAAGAGAAATTAAAAGAATTCACTACAAGAATATGTTGAAATTACGAATATTAATATTTTATTTCTAAATTTCAAAAAAAAAAAAGAAACACAAATATCATTTGATTTCTTATTCTCACTATTTGATGTTTTAATTATATCATATGTTTTTTTGTCTTATATGGTTTTTTTTCATAACTAATCTTTAAATAATATAATTTCACAATTTCCTTTTCTTTAAAAAGTGATAGATCAAAATGAAAAATTATAATTTTATCTATTAATAGTTTAAATATTTGTAAGTAGATTTAAGGATATAATTTAATTTTTATAAATTGTTAACATAAAATACCAATAAAGCAAAAGAACTTTCATCATATAAGAAGAGTTAAACTAAATACGACTTAAGGATCAACGGACTAAACTCATTTATAATAGTTATGGGTTGACATGCGCACAACACATTAGTGCTTGTTTGCCATGTTGTATATGAAACAAGAATTTTAAGAGAATAATTTCTTACTTAGAATTTCTTATTGAATCAAAGAATCATTATATACATATGATGGAGCCTAAATCTAGCCTAAAATTTCTACAATAAGAAAGGGATCAATCAAAATAACAAACAAAACAATAAACTCCTAAAAAACGTAGAAACTACTCCAACATTATCTCCTATATTGACTAATTCAAACTCAAATCTCCAACACTCCCCCTCAAGCTTAGGAATAAATGTTTTTCATTCCAAGCTTGCTCAGAATACTTTCATGACTTGGCTTCAGCATGTTTTTGGTGAGTACATCTGTTTCCTGTGAATAAGTGGGAATGTAGCATAGGTTGATGCCACCTTCTTCAATCTCTCTCTTGATAAAGCTTCGATCGATTCTAACATGCTTCATTCGATCATTTGAACATGATTGTTTCACAATTCTTATGGTTGATTTACTATCATTGTATAGTTTAGTAGGAGAAGAAACTCGTATTTGTAAATCTTTCATCAATCTCTCTAGCCATATCACTTCGCAGATTTCCTGTGCAATTGCTCAAAATTTTGCATCAACATTATTTCTAGCAACTACCAATTGCTTTTAGCTTATCCAAGTAACCAGATTACTCCATAACTATGTATAGTTAACCTTGAAGTCGACTTGTAATCTTCATTTCTAGCCCAATCTGCATTGGCATAGCCCTCTATATTCCTCTTGTCACATATTTGAAATATGAGTCCCTTTTCATGAGAGCCCTTGAGATACCTTAGTATATGATTTACTGCCTCCATGTGTCTCTTAGTTGGAGAGTGTGTTAACTGACTTACCACGTTCATGGCTTATACAATATTTGGCCTTGTGAGAGAAATAGATCCATTTTCCAACTAGGCATTGATATATTTCTTTATCCACGGTTGGCTCGTCGTCATTAATTTTTCCTTTCTAGTTCTTTTCAAGTGGAGTACTAATAGGTTTACATCTAGCTTTTCGGTTTTCTTTAGCAGATCCAAAGTGTATTTTCACTGTGAAGTGAAAATACCTTCTCTACTTCTGACAATTTCCATCCTAAGGAAATACTTCAAAGGCCCCAAGTCTTTGACTTCAAATCCCTTCTTCAACTGATGCTTGAGTTCTTGAATCTCAACACTGTCATCATCTGTGAGTATGATGTCGTCCACATACACAATAAGAATTAATCTTTTTCTTTATTCTTTTTTCTTGATGAAGATAGTGTGGTGAGCCTTTCCTTGGTTGTAATCCAACCGGTTTAGTGTAGTGCTAAACCTTGTAAACCAAGCCCGTGGAGACAGTTTTAACCTACATAAAGATTTTTTCAAGTTATAGACTTTTTTTGGTTTCTCTTATGACTCAAAACCAGGTGGAATCTTCATGTACACTTCCTCATCAAGTTCACCACTCAAGAAGGAATTTTTAATGTCAAGTTGATGTAGCTCCCAGTTAAGATTAGTTGTGAGGGAGAGAAGAACCCGAATTGAGTTTGGTTTGGCCATAAGAGCAAATGTCTCCTCATAATCAATCCCATAGGTCTATGTAAAGCCTCATGCCACCAATTGAGCCTTGTATCGTTCTATGTCTCCATTCGCCTTATATTTTATTGTGAACACCCATTTACTACCAACAACCTTCTTATTCTCTAGCAATTCAACCACTTCCCAAGTGCCATTCTCAAGTAAAGCTCTTATTTCTTCTAGGACTGCTTTTTTCCACTTTGGCTCTTTTAGTGCTTCATAGATACTTTTTGGTACTCAACACTATCAATTTTTGTAGTAAATGCCCTGTATTCTAGACATAACTGAGAATAAGCTAAATAATTGGAAATAGAGTATTTAACACATGATCTTCTTCCTTTTTTAAGGGAAACGGGAACATCCAAGTTACTTATCACATTTGCTTCATTAGGAATCAGTTCTGGATTAGGCTCTTGAAAGGTTTGAGGAGCTTTAGGCCTTTATAAATAAACTGAAACTAGTTGTTGCTCAATTATCAGTTCTTCCCTTGGAGAAATCGCTTCAGTAGTTTGTGGACCATGACTTGAAGAACTCGGATGACTCTACTTGACTCAGATTTGTATAATTTGAAACATCTTGGAGATAGGTAGTGAAATTGTAGGATCCCAACGACTCTTTTCACTTGACTTATCCCGCTAGAGAGAGGAATTGGAGTAGTATGACTTGTTCTGAAAAAAAGGTGACATTATAAGAGATAAAGAACTTTTTAAAATCTACAAAATAACATTTGTAGCCTTTTGTGTTGGTGAATAGCCTAATATACATTTGATGGCTTTTGATGATGGTTTGCTCGAACTTGGTTCATGATTTAGCACATAGTACAATCGAACACTTTTGGTGGTAGGGAGTCGAGAATTTTTTTGTTTAGGAAATGATCCAAGAGAACACTAACTGGAGTATGAAATTTAAGAAATTTGAAAGGTAGGCGATTGATTAAGTATGATGATGTGAGAATAGCTTCCCCCCAGTATGAATACGGAAGTGAGTTTGTGATCATGATAGAACGTTCAACTTCTAACAAATGATGATTTTTTCTTTCAGCTACTCCATTTTGCTTAAAAGTATAAGCATAAGAACTTTGATGATGGATGCCATTGTCCCATAAATATTGGGCAAGTTCTTTTGAAAAATATTCTCCTATTATTTGTGCGAACAATTTAGATTGAGGTTTGAAGGACATTCTGGACATATTTATGGAATTGTTTAACCAATGAGTAAGCTTTGGATTTTTCTTTCATTAGTTAGACACAACAAATCCTTGTGTGATTGTCTATAAATGTAATGAACCATCGGGTTCCCGTCAAGGTTACAACTCCTGCTGAGCCCCAAATGTCACTGTGTATAAGATGAAATAGTTTTAAAGGTTTGTACAAATGAGAAGGATAATAATTGCGAGATTGTTTGGTAAGAACATATTGTTCACAATCAAAGGAAACATTTTTATTGGTAAACAAATATGGATGAAAAGCTTTTAAATAAGGAAAACTAAGATGTCCTAAACGCTTATGCCATAACATCAAATATGAACTAAACGAGACGAAAAGAAAAACAAATTACTTGGTAACTTAACTCTAGAAGAAGTACTAGTTATTGAGAGATAGTAGAGGCCATTTTTCTCCTCAGCATTGCCAATTGTCTTCCCTGAAGATTAGTCTTGAAATTCACATTGAGATGGAAAAAAAAAATTACAATATAGTTCACATCCCTTATCAATTTACTAACAGATAATAAATTGTAAGTTAAGTTGGGCACATG